CGTAGTGGAATAATTTGGGATGCCTGTGATTGTTCCACCACTCTAACTGTTCCTTTATCTTGAATTGTCTTGTATTCCAATGCTGCTGATGCAATAAATTAGTCTCGAAGTGGGTGTTTAAGCATTTCATTCCATGAATCTGGAGGAGAAGGTAGATCGTCTCGATGGATCTTGCGCATGGAGGTGGAAGGCTAATGGTTTAATCCTATTGCAAATGCACTTAGTAAGCTGTCTAGCCAATGAGTTGCCGAGTATACTTTAAGATAAGGGTTATTTGGCTTTTCTTGTTGCGCTTTCCTAGGATAATGTTGTTTTCATCAACTTCCTTCCTTGGTCGTCGTTGCGGTGGTAGTTCTTGTTGCGGTGGTGGTTCTTGTTGCAGTTGCGGTTCTGCTTCACCCCCAGATTGAGTCCAATGGGTGGGATTGATCTGAATTCAATGAATCTAGGAGTATTCGGCTTGGCGAATCAGGTTTTTCCATTTCAGGTGGTGCAGGAGGGTCATCTGGTTGCTCCAATTGGTAGTCTAACTAATCAGGTAGACCAGGTGGGTGGTCTGCAGGTGGAGGTGTTGTCTCCGGTGTTGGTGGAGGTTGGAATAAGGTTTCCTTCACTGGCTGTTCTGGATAAGCTTCTTGATAAGCTTGTTTTGTGGTTCTGCCTGATTGGTTAAATTGGTATAATTCTTGTCTTCAACCACTGTTACTCCTTCAGGGGAATCATCAATCTCAACAGTAGGGGTTGCTTTTGCAATTTTTGGTATTCTAAGCACCTCGGTAGGGTGGCTCTGGTGCAGCTTCTTGGATAAGGTCTTCAAGGAATGGCTCACATGGGTTGTACATGCAAGATTCATCGAAGGTAACATCTCTGGATTCGATAACCTTTCTCTGTCTTGGTTGCCAGATTTTCTAGATATTTGATGCCTTGTATCCCACTAGATACCCAACGAGCGCTCTAGGGGCCATTTTTTGTGTGTTGGCAAGGTCCTGATCTCTTAAATATGCGCGGCAACCAAAGGTGTAGAGGTTTGCAAGGTTTAGACACTTTCCGGTAAGCATTTCAAATGGGGTTTTCTATTCCAATTGTTTTGTTAGTGATCAATTAAGAATATAAACTGCAGCGTTTATTGCTTCAGGCCATAGATCCAATGGTATTCTTGCATTAATTAGGAGAGGTCGAGCCTTTTGGAGAATCATCCCCCAGAACGTTCTCCTCGGCTGTTCTGTTCAGGTTGACCGCGTACAGAGGTTTGATGGATGATCCCGTTCTGGCTGGTTAGGGCTGTCGAAGTCATGGCCTAATGTTTGCTCATTATCTGATCGATAGATCTTGACTGAAGTGTTCCATTGGTTCTTAACTAGATTGGTAAAGTAGTCAATTGCACCTTGAATCCCATTCTTGCGTTGAAAAGTGTACGCAAAGTGCATGTGTGTAAATTCATCATAGAAGTGGCAACACCATTAATGTCCATTGTATGCAGGTCTTAACTGGATAAGGTCAAAGTGGACATATTCGAAAGGCTTGGTCGCTTTCTTCGATGGTCGTCGAGAGATTTGGCGTGGTGCATGGGAGATTAAGCAAGTCTGGCATTTCTGATTAAAGCCTTTTAATTGGTTAATTTGCATTCCTGTTGTTACCTCTGGCAAGTGCTGAATTGCTTCATGGTTTAGATGTCCCAGTCGGCGGTGCCATGTGTGTGCATCTCCATCCAGAACTAGGGGTTTTTAGACTTTTTCAATGATTTCAGTGCAAAGGCTTGTTCAGATGGCTGATTATCTTCGACTACCCATAGATCTTGAACTGTCTTTAGTTTGCAGATTTCCATTCGGTCACTCTTCCTGCAGATTCGGTCGTTGTTAAAATCCCATGTATATCCCGCTTCTTTCATGCAGCGAGCAGATAGAATATTGGTATGGAATCCTGGGACATATGCAACCTTTTAGAGACTAATTAAGTTTGCCTTGTTAGGGAAGATGGTGACTGTCCCTAGGCCTTGAATTGCCATGGTTAAATCTCCTGCTCGAAGGATTCCTTCATACGTGGGATTAAATAAGGTAAACCGTGATTTATTATTACAAACATGGATAGATGCACCTGAGTCCAGAATGGTACTGTCTTTTAATCGATAGGATAATTCTGTTGCAAAGCTGGCTGGGATTACCGCCATGACATGGTGTTCGTTGGTTTGAACTGCCATGACATGGTGTGCATCAGTTTGACTGTCTGGTTTTTGATCCTTTTGGGCTTTTTCGATTGCGCGTTTGATTTGCTGATGCTTTAGACTTAAAGGATTCTGCATGATTTCATTAAATTTGGCTTGGATTGTTGGATTTGGCTGCCATCCTGATGGTCGAAGTGCTTCATTAAGGTAGAAGCATCGGTGGAAGAAGTGGATCCGTCCACATATACAAGGTTTCCGGGGCTGATTTGAGCTTGTATTCTTATCAGATTTCTTGGTATCTGATTCCTTTGACTGATCTGTTTGGCCCTTTAGAGTTGCATAAGCAGCTTCAAGCTTGGAAGACTGTCTGATCTGCGTAGTCCTTGCAATATATGCTCGAAATTCGCTTAAAATCTCCGGTAATTTAATGGATTCATCCTTATAGAGGACATCAACGTGACGTTCGGCCCAAGCTGGTGAGTGTTTTGCAATTGCATCAAGAAAATCCTGTACAGCATGATCTCCTTTGGCTTCTGGTAGATCCGCAGATTGGCATTTGTGATAAGCTGATTTAAATAATGCAAGCCATTGGTCCAAATTGGTGTTATTAACCGGTGTATCCCGTGCCTTCTTATATTTTGCAAAGATAGACTGGGCGGTTTGTCTCTTCGTTGGTTCAAGCTGTTTCTTTAGTGATCTAAGGATCTGGTAGGTTAAATCCTTATAAAGGTGATGCACTAGTAGAGTTGAAACAAAGCTTTGAATAGTTTTATAGACAGCTGCAATCCCTTGTTTGACTCGATTATATTAATTTTTTTTTGGGCAGTGTATAGCTGCATTCGCATCTTCTAAAAATCAAAGTAATCTGGATCGTTCGGCATATCTGGGATGACTGGGTTGTTCGGAAGTCTGGGTAATTGGTCTTCCGGTGTGCTAGGATTAATGTAATCCCACACGTCTCGAGCTTTTGCTTGGCTCTGGATGAGGCTATACCAAGCGCGCCAATCATCCTGTGATTTTAGGATAATGGAGACCTTTGTGGGCGCTTTATTACTTATTTTGACTGGTTCAATGTGATTGGCCGTTTCCAGGGTGTATGGAAAGGTATTGCTTTCGTGTGTTTAAACGAATCGATTCCGGTTCAAGGGTTCGATCGGTGGAATACCGCGTGCGTTGGAATTCAGTGGGACAGCGCAGGGAAAGGTCTGAATAGCTTCAAGGTTTCCTATTCAGGGTGCCTAACCGGGCTCATAACTGTCGGTCAGCTGAATACGCGTATGAGCTAGTATCACCGATTATATAAGAATATGGATATGCATTGAAGAATTGAGGTCTCTAAGGTCTCTAACTATCTGAATCTATCTGGGAGAGCTGGATGAAAAAGGTGAAAACAAAGGAATAAAGTCGGACCGAGCGGATGCTGAATAATGGGTAATATTGGCCCACTTTGGTCGACAACATTAAAATAAAGTAAGGAGGCCTTTGTCTGGGGAAAATATTTTGATATAATCACGTGGTTAAAAATCTTTCAGAAATATAAAAGATTTTTCAAAAAATTTCAACTTTGGCTTGAAATTTCAAAATTTGAAGGTTTTTTTTACATCTCTACTTCCAACACACAATCCATATCACGTGACTTTTCACCATGTTTGTTTACTGCTCATTTTCCTCATTCTTCCCTTCAACGATTCCTTATCGTACATAACCTATCTAACCTATCCTATTGGTTCTACGGGTTCAGCCCCTGGCATAATTATCTAGCTATTCTGTGATAAGTGAGTCGCTCATCCAATTCCAGCTTACTCAGTTCCTCTATTCTGATGCCAATTCTTCTGACCTACCGTAGGTTCGCTACACTTATAAAGTAGTTAGTAAGTAATTAATAATATTCTATTTTTTAACTAGATTAATACTATGTTATATTACCCTAAGTAGTTGGAAAGTGGTTCAAAAGCAGTTGTTGTTACAAAGAAGAATAAATGAGAATGAAATCCAGGAAGTTTGTGACCTCCAAAAGCCGTTAAGCTATTTGTGCGAGGTCGCCCCACCTGTGACTGACCTGTGCCCTGTTGTTGTACTGGTATTTAAAATGTCAGGACAGTCAGGTAGCCGGTTATCAAAACTGAGCTAGTCGTAAGACTAGGCATCATAGAATCAGAATTTGATGAAAAGGGGATCGTTCTCGAGAAGAGGGGAAGACCACAGGATACCATACACAACGTTAAGCTATCCAGTTGAATTACCCAGTAATTCCAACACCGGTTGGCACCCTGGTGACCGTTCACCTGACCTGTCGTCTGCACTTGAGACCTTTAATGACGTGTCGGGCTTGCTGACGTGTCCGGCTCGCCTGCCAATTACTAGGTCTACAACGTCAAAATCCTAGGAGACCAGTGGCATCAATAATATGTATCGAAGCAGGTACGCTTCATCCGCGAGTGCTACTGCTGAATACTGTATACACTCATATCTATGCAGCACTGAGAATATAAAGCAGACCAACTACGGAAAAACAACCTCACTGGGAACGTATTCACCCCGCACACAAAATGATATTAAATGTTCAATATAATCTATCATACAGCGTATATTTTGTTCTGATCGGGACATTTTGTCTAGCAGCATACACCCTTTGGGCATTCAGGCCAACCTCGATCAGCCACTTGCCATTAGTCAATGGGGATAAGGTGCTTGGGATTTTTACATATAAGGCGAAACTCAAGTTTCTGAGCCATGGAGAGGAGCTACTCGAAGAGGGCTTTAAAAAGGTGTACCGTGTTTGTTAATTAGCCATGGAGCCGTAGCTAATACAACTTAGTCACCTTCAGGCTTCAGGATCATGTCAAACACTGGAGAAAAGCTCGTATTACCTCCTCGATTCGCCGAGGAAATGCGGAATGACGACAGACTAGATGCTCGAGAAGCTAATAAAGAGGTGAGCATCGTTTCAATAGAGTCAACTGCATTAACTAGCTCCATCAAGATGTTAACTGGAAACTAGGACATGCTCGGTCATGTACCTTGTCTTGCTCCACTCACTGGAGGCTCCCTGGATGAGAAAGTAATTGCTAAGCTTATGCTGAGGATCACGAGAGCATTAAGTACGATACAGATTAGAAGCTCACCCACTGAATCAGAAGCATTTAACCATGCTCCACAGATACATTGACAGGGCCCATGTTAGAAGAAATCGATTTAACGGTTAGAAGTCATTGGACCGATAGACCTGGTAGACCTTGTCTTCCCTTCTTATTCAGCCTACCGAGTCTGCTAATAGGAATTGGAAGATTTTCATGAGATTGATCTAGCACAAAGCTCACTGCAGATGATTTCTCAGGTGTCTTCTCGAGCATTTACTGGTCAGAAACTCTGCCGCAATAAGCAATGGATTAACACAACTGCTGCCTATTCTTCTAGCGCACTGGCAACTCTTTTGACTCTGCATCTTTTCCCTAAATTCTTGCACCCTTTACTTCAACTGGTGCTACCCACGTGTCGAGAGACTCAGGACTATATAAGCGCCGCTCGACATCTGCTTACCCCAGTTCTTGAAGAAAGAGAATCAGTCGGTCAGCAGCAGGATGATGCAATAGCCTGGTTTCAGGAAGTTGCAGCGGGCTCATCGTGCGATCCAGTCTCAGCACAACTTTCACTATCGTTCGTGGCGACTCAGACAACTGCTGACTTTTTTACCAATCTTCTTACTGACCTTTGTGAGAACCCGGATTTAGTCCCAGCACTCCGCCATGAGATAATTTCCATTATTGGCAAAGGTGGAATGACTAAGAAAGCCATATCCCAGCTGAAGTTGCTGGATAGTGTGATGAAAGAGTCTCAGAGAATGAGACCTCCCTTGCTAGGTAAGTCTACATAACCCCTAGCCGTATGACAAGCTTGCTTATAGAAGGGCAGCAACAATGGGCCGCCGCGTCGTGAAGAGTATCACACTCTCAAATGGTCTCAAGCTACCCAAAGGAACAAGGGTTTGCGTATCCACAAGTGCGACGAAGGACCCTTCTGTCTACCATGAGCCCGAGAGGTTTGATGGATATAGATTTCTGAAAATGAGGACAGTCCCTGGCCAAGAGAACTGTAGCCAGTTTGTTGCGACTAGTACACATTCAATGGGATTCGGGCATGGTGTCCATGCTTGTCCTGGTAGATTTTTGGCAGGACATGTGGTCAAGATCTTTCTCTGTCATATTCTCATTAAATATGATTTCAGATTACCAGGGGGGCATAAGCCTGACTCCATGAAATCGGGCTTCTTTGTACTGAGTGATGCTGCCACCAAGCTCCTCGTCAGGCGAAGATTTGAGGAAATCTAACCATGTGTCCCAACAGGTTCTGCTTGAATCAAAAACACCCTGCACTTTCTTGAGGCGTTCTTTTTACATCAATGAGAATTAGAGCATTTATTACAGTAGTGGACATGTTTGGCTTCTACGTGATTTACCTTGACTCTTTCTCAGCGCCATACATGTGGATTTCTATTTAGTCCAGAGCTGCCTCCTTCGGACGCATATGAGGCTAGAAACAGCAGCACCAGCCCGACCGTTGACGCGTCGCCCGCGAGCACGACCTCTAGCAACTTAACCACGCACCCTATTCCCAGGGCGACCGCCTGATCCTGTAGCAATAAATTTTCCCCCACACAGCTCCCGAGATGTTCCCATAACCGAACCCTTTACCATACTGTATGTCCAGGGGCGCCAGTATTCGACTACAGAAAGAGATACTACCTGCCTTACAGTGCATGAATCCAGATTTCTGGTCCAAAATCTTCCACATCAAATAGGGCTATACAGATCCTATGCGATTAAGCATCCTGGATGAAGCATCCAAGCTGTTACGGAAACACTATAATCCGCCCGACTTGGCGGTGCGGAGTATCTGACGATCGATTCAACCCCTGAATCCTTTAGATAATTAGTTGAGCACCTAGATAGGAATGCAAGAGACTCAGTTGGTTGAGATACTGTGATTCCTGGTGTTTCCACAGAAGGACATCTACTTCCTAGTTAGGCTAGTTGGCCTGTAGCTGATAGAATAGCTCCCTGCGCACCACTTCCCCTGAGTTCCACAACACCCTGAATTCCACAACAGTTGTAAAACGGCGTTCAAAACGAACAAAAGTAGGTGTTATCAAGACAATATGGCTTAAATGTGACAAGGGTGGAAAGTATGATAGCTGTCTTAATAAAACCGAGCGCCGCAGGAAAGGGAGCACAATATACGTGCAGAAAGACCTGTTATAAGGAGAGCCTTCCGCAGATATTGAATGAAAAGATATTGCTATTTTGAGCCGATAGAAATACAATCAGAGACACCTTGAATTATCCTACTTTACTATTTTCAGGATAAGTAGTGAGCTAAACTAATGGTGGGATAAATCGTCTCTCTAATTATGTACTGTTCCATGCAGCCCAACCCTCGCAGTTCGCAGTGGATGAGGATAGCCAGAAATAGCCCCCGTAGACAACATGCCACGCTGCGTGTATTGCTTTTCCATGCCGTTTCTCGATAAGTGCGGTTTCCAACATGGTTCAGCAATCACCCAGCCGCCACTAGGGCAATTCAGTACCAGTTGGTAATGCTCCGGGTTGCGTGTCTGGCTCATGAGAATACCTTGCTAGACCAGAGCTCTCAGATAGATGTCCTCTACCACCTGCGTGTCAAGCCTGGGGGCTAAATCCGCCAGAAATAGATCCAGTTGGTCTGAGCCGAGAGGAGGCAATAGCGGGAAATCATAGATGGTGCGATAACAGCCTCGCATCATAGACAACTAGGTGGCCACCTCCCGCAGGGCTCGTGAGATCCATCGTAGTGTCCTAAGGCTCACGGCCATGGCTTTTCAGAGAAGACAACGGGGGCTGGCTGGTCCGGGAACTGTTGGACGAGGGAGTGCAACACGGCAGCCTGGATAATCTCCATGGGTTGCGTAATCAACGCGTCATTCGCCCTGTCTAGCAGGAGTTGGCTGGTCGTCTGATCAAGATTGAACATATAAGTATCGACATCCCCATGGGTCTTGTGGTTGGTCGCTCCATTCCCCCAGTATGCCGTGGTCGTCGTCGTCATCGTCTTCCTAAATAGCGGGCAGCTACGAATGGTTTTAATTTAACTTTTCAATTGAATTAATTCTATCAATCTATTATTATGGCACCCACCTTCGCTTAGGGGAAAAATAAATGAAAAATAAAAGAACAACAGATTAGGTAGTCAAACAAAGAGAGGTTGGATATAAGGCAAACACTATTGGCTGTGGTACACAGTTTCGCTGTGGCCGCTCGTCAAGAGCAGCCACCGAAATTAAGATATTAAAGCCGATTGTGCGCTTAGTGCTTTCCTTTCTTAGGCACGCGGAAAAACCAGTATGAGAGGATGGTTGCGCAGATATTGAATGCAAAGAAAACCCATAATAGGCCAAAATCCCTCCAACGGGTAGATGGATCAATACCCATGCTGCTGAGAAATTGATTGGTGTTGTCCACCGGGCAATAACGGCATGTCTCCCCACCATTCTCATTGGTGTTCGGATTCAGAAGGACGCCGCCGCTGCTTGCGATGTAGGGGGCCATGTAATCCTCACAAGACTGATTCTTCGGGCTCATAAATGACAGGACTTCGGTTTCGCTGCAGTGCATCGGGGCGTCCGAGAGGGTGGCAGATAGGAACGCGGAGGCGAGATAGGTCATGGGGCTCACGCGGTACATGAATATCCAGAACCTGGGGAAAGAGTCTGGTCTGGCGATAATTCCGCAGAAGTACATGCACATGAGCATCAGGAAGTTGCAGAGACCCGATGCCATTTCCGCGAAGTCAAATCCTGATATGACGAGATGGCCCAGGGAGCTGCTCCAGAGGAAACCAGCCCAGAGAGTAAGAATGACAAGAGCACTCCGGGAGTGGAGCGCATTCGTATACAATGCGTTTCGCCAAACACCCATGGGGTAGTACCAAGCAACAAAGCACAATACGGCCATCAACTAACACACCCAATACATTAGCTCGTTTCATACTTGATCCACCTGAGTTAAAGGAAACTTACCGAATTCCACATAAGTTCGGAGAGGATGCTCGAGAGAAGGAAAATCTGCCAAGCGTACGTTTTGGACTGACATTCCCGCGATTCATACAACGTCCGCTGGCTCACATAGGCTGGAATAATCTGCATGACAAGCTGGACAAAGATGATGATAAACATAAACACCCCAAGCATCTGGTCTTGCAACCCCTGTTGAGTATTTGCACCATTAAAGAAGGAGAATCCGATGAACAATGCCTATGGATTGGGTCAGTACTTTTGATGAAATACCGCTAAGGAATGGCAACAGTAATTTACACTGGCTAGACAAAGAAACATCTTTGAATAAATGTAGGATGGACTACGCCAGAGGTGCTGGAACACACGCTTCGAGACAATAAAAAACTGGGTCGTGAACGGGGCAGCAAACTCGGTGTCGTTAGAGCGGTCACTTGTGGGGGGTGCCGTGAATGGTTTTTCAACCGGTTGTTTGAGCTTCGTAAGATGGTCGCGAACTGCTTGGTATTCCGGACTGTTGCGCCAGACGTTCGGCCAATCAATTTCCGTTTGAGACCCAGGTGCAGCACCGGTCACGGTCAACATGTGCTCGGCAGGATTAGTTCCTGCGGGACAGGCAGGACCGCCATTTCGAACCAAATAGTCCATCAACATGTGAGAGTGTTTACCAATTTCTCCAAAGTAGACTGTCTTACCACCTGGAGCGAGGAGCAGGAGTCGGTCGAAACGCTGAAAAAGAATTGCTGACGGTTGGTGGATTGTGCACAGAATTGCTTGCCCATTATTCGTCAATGTTTCCATGAGGTTGCAGATAGACCAAGACGTCTGGCTGTCAAGACCGGAAGTGGGTTCGTCCAAGAAGATTAACAACTTGGGGCGTGCGACAAGCTCCACTCCGATTGTGAGACGCTTTCTCTGTTCGACGTTTAGTCCTGATCCGGCGACTCCGACAATTGCATCTGCATATTCTTCCATGCACAAGAGCCTGATGACCGTCTCGACGTAGTCCAATTTCTGCTGCCTTGTGAAATGCTTTGGCTGTCGGAGCAAAGCACTAAACTCGAGGGCTTCGCGAACGGTGGAGGTCTGCAGATGAAGATCTTGCTGCTTCACATATCCAGTTTTGCGCTGGAATGAGTTATCTCGAGGATGACCGTCCACGAGCATACTCCCCGTGATGACACCCATCGTGGTGCGGTTAGCGAGAACGTCCAAAAGTGTTGTTTTCCCAGCACCAGAAACACCCTAGTTTTCCACCAATGCATGAGCGTACATTAACGTATGGCAAACCGGGACCAAGAACTCACCATTAGAGCCGTCAAAGTGCCTGGCTTGACCCATCCATCAACGTGATCTAGCAGTCTTCGATTTTCTCCTTGGACTGTAATATCGTAGCAAACATTCTCCCAATGAAAAATAGAATCCTGCTGCTCCACACCCTGGGGAGAAAGAATGGAACTTGTCATCTCGCTGGAGGAAACTCCTGCATATGGCTGCTCATCATCAACTTGCTGCTGCTTGACCCTTTTTTGGTGTATCTTGCCACGACGAAAGACAAGTATTTCGCCCTTAGATCTCTGAGCGGCAACAAGCTCCGACGCCATCAAGTGGCAGAGGCAGAGGAAAACGCAAAAGCCAACCAGGATGCCGAAATCCGCCCAGCGGAAGCTATAAGAGTATCCGTAGGACTGAGTTATAAAGGCGTCACCGTTAACGGTGCTGGAGCCCGGTACCGAGCCCATTATCGAGCAAACGCGCTGCTCCGCGGACACCGCGTCATAGCCAGGTCCTGATGGTACGAAACTCGAGCATGCAAAGTCTCGGCCATGAAATTCATTGACCATAAGGGCTTCAAATGCATAGTACACAGGGTTAATATACCGGATCCAGTGTGACCAGCCAAGCATATATGAGCTAGGAATTGCAAACCCAGCGTACATAACGAGTCCAAGATTGACGACCGTTGTTGGAGTCATTGCTTGCTCAAGAGTCTTTGTCAATGATGCAAGGAGCCGGAAAAACATTGACATTGTTAACTGTGCTGTAAAAACGATGAGGAGGAAAAAGAAGAAGGCACCGGGCTCGCGGCGAAGATTTGTCATGAAATAAAGCACAATGTTTAGCACAATGGCACCCACAATTTTATACGGTAGATCCATGATCATTGACGCAATAGAATCAGCACTAGGATGATAGAGTGCATAGCGTTTATGCTTCTCTATGATCTGGCGTTTTCCGTAGAGGCTAATGATCTCGAGCATAGTTCCCAAGGCATTGAGGATGACAACCATAAACATTGTAGCTCCACGCCCAAAAAAGGACGAGGTGGATGGAGAAAGGTTATAAAACAAGCTTCCAATCACCAAGAACATGACTATGTTGTTTACCAGCATATAGATTGGGACGCCAAGTTCATTTTTGATTCGCGTTATTTCCCTCATCATGCACAACTGAATCTGTGACCAGTATGATAATGTATAAGGCGAGCCTCCACGCTGCTTGGTGGACTTGTCTGATTTTCTAGCGTCTGAAAATTGTTGAAGGTCGGCTCCCCCAAAGGGATGTTCCTGGCTATATTGCTGAATTTGGTTCAGGAGCTGTTTGCGCTCAGAACTGTCCTTCCATCTCTGGGCAAACTCGTCTGCTGTTCGTGGCGCGAGGCTAGTAAAACCCGGTCTAATCACCCGCTCTGTGGCACTTGTCATCGAAGTAAGGAAATCGGGAGTAGTCTGAGATTCTGGACACTCGAACCCAAGGTTTTCAAAGTAGGTTTTTGCATCGCATGCTCTTCCGAAGTAGATTTGTCTCCCTTCGTATAGTACCGTCACTTTGTCAAAAACCTGTATGCAAGCTATTAGACACCAGCACCAGATGCCTTGTCACTTAGGTTAACCACCTACTTCATAAGCTGCCTGGGGCGACTGGTAAATCGCCACGCAGGACGCTATACCGAACACATCACTCTGCATCCGCAGTGTCTTGCAAAATTCGATCGCGTTGGCACTATCCAGACCTCGTGTACTATTGTCCCAGCACTGTAATGGTGCATAGCTCAGAGCCGCCTCGGCGATCGTCACTCGCTTCCTTTCACCTCCGCTAACACCACGTACAAAATCGTTTCCCACTCGAGTATTTTTCGTATGGCCGATTCCAAACATAGCCATGGTGACATCGCGTAGGTGGGTAGCATAAAGCTCGCGACTGAGTCTACCAGGGATCTTGCGAGGAACTCGGGCGAGTGCTGCGAAGTAGAGTGTGTCCCCCACGGAGAGTGATGGAAAATGGCAGTCCACTTCAGCGGTGTAGATGGCTTCCCCGCGGAAGGCGCTGCTCATCTGCTTTGGAGTGATACCTTGATAGTTGATGTAGGATCCTGGTTGCACTTCGAGCCCCAAGATATCGCCGGCAATGGTCTTCAAGAGCGTAGAGCATCCTGATCCAGGAGGGCCCAATACACAGAGTTGTTCACCAGGTAACAATAGTCCATCGATGTCGCGTAGAATGTCGACTCGCTGCTTCCGTCTTATGCCGAACAGCTCCGCTGCCATCCCAACCATCTTCAACGCTGCGTTTCCAACACTCATTTGGTAATCCGTAGGTGTCCCGTAGCCACACACATTAAGATTCCTAAAAGCGATCCCTGCCTTCAGAGGCTTATCTCCTCCTTGGAATCTAAGATTGTAAAATTCCCTCGCCCAGTCTTTGGCACGGAATTTGGAGCTGTTCGGGTTGAGGTGGGCTTGGTCCTGAGACTCAGGTAGAGACGATAACATCTCGCATGTCGACTGTGCTTTGATAACCTGAGCGAGGCTCTGTACACCCCCTTCCTGCCATGATTGTCCACTATTAGGCCACAAACTGGACTCGCTCTTCTGTTTCCTTACCTCGGGAGATGCCGATAGATGGGGTTCTAGCCGGCCTGTCTTGAGTGGTTTGCCAACCGTAGTTTTTTGCAAATCCTGGTCGATATTCTCAGAGGCTGTATGTTGCATCATTGTTGATTAAGATATCAGAAGAGTTTGAGACTCGGTATGCCACAACTGAGCCCGCTAAGCCTTGGTAGCTTGCGAGCAATGATGCAAAGACTGCTCTTTAGGCCATGCAGAAAAGTGTGAATTAATCTTTTGGTAGAATATAGGGGTCAGGAATAACAACGCTTTTGAAATATTATGTGACTCGCAAATATTATTGAATATATGTGCAAATGGAACTAGAAATCATATCAAAAGACCGTGGTAGAGAAAATCGTCTTCTTTAAAGGCCATCGTAAGGGCCAATCTTTCCCACTATTCCTGCAATAGACTGCTGAGCCCCCTTGCTTGGTACCCTTTTCCAATACGTTCTACAGGCATGTCGAAAGCAGTGTCCGAAATTAATTAGTAGTAATTTCTGGAAAAACCCTCTGGCCAACAGCATACTGCCTCTGGCCTCCATAACTGTAAGTTTCCTATAACACTATGCAGCCACAAATAATAGTCTTGTAGCCATCAACCTGTAACAAAATTACTATTTATTAGATAGTGAATACAGTGTCCATACTATTTTAGTGTTTCTAAATGTACTGAAAATGGCTTCACCACTGCGTTTTTGGAAAGTCACAGTTAGTTATATATTATTATGCAGACCAGGGGTACATAGTAGTAGCAACTTGCAGTAGTGTTAAATTTAGCGTAAACTACAGCCGATCTCAGAGCCACTGTTTTGAATATAGTAGGGAATGATCTAGATTTTGACAGATGCGACCGAGGCAAAAAGGCAAACAACACAACGGTGGAGAACAAATGAGCTGAATAGATTAGTGTCTGAAAGACGCATCACGATGGCGTTTTTACTGCCAAGTTTGGAGGCATGCTGAATCCTCAGATTTGTACAGTTTAACGAGTCAGCGGATATAGCCAAGAAAAATAAAAAAAAAAAAAAAAAAAAGCAACAACCTGTCGGCTGACCGCAGGCCCACCTTGGTATTTGTACAGGAGTGCTAGTATTGTCCATCCAATATACCAGTGTGGGAGTATTAAATACAATATCCATCTTCCCGGCTTCGAATGAGCTTAAATTCAACCATCTGAGACTTAAGGCGAGAACCTAAACTTCGAACGTCAAAAGTAACTTCATTTGGTTTTGCTGCATTGGCCGATTAGACAATGTTCGGAATGGTGCACGAGAATATCTATGTTCCATAGGCTGAGGTTGTCTCCCAGACGACAGGCAGTCATTCATGGATACAGTGCTTATTCACGTAGAAGAAATTATATAGCATTCCTAACTGTTCATAATTATTAGGAGAAAATGTGCAGAGAATCAATTCAATTTATCTCGTATGTGGCTAACACTAATAACAATATCTGGCAGCTCCAGGCTGGTAAGGTGTGGTATCACATTTTGACCCGGTGGTGTAATTATAGATTTGCTTCTCAAGGCTCGTGACGTTGGGTATGCGCATAAGAAGACCATGAGCTGACAGTAACAGGTCGGCATCTTAAAATAGCTTCACAGGGGGTTGACGTCCGTAGTGGTAAACCCGTTGAATCCTTGATATAACTTGGAAGTCCTCGGCTGGATATGTGATATCAAGCAGGAAATATAAATTGGGCATTCACGCAACATGTTTAGTATCCACTGCTAGACCTTAACCTACATGAACCGAGATTTGAGCTACATTACCGTACAAAGTTACTGCATTCAAACTCTATAAGCCTATTCCACAATTGCATGTGCATTTTTGGAAGAGTTCTGTATGCTCTATTACATCACTTGTTTCAATGTTGACAACATAGCATGCGTTTTCTAATCCCTCGTTCTAAAGTTAATGCATCAACTCATAGGCATCTACCGGCAGACTAAAATGACAGGAATATATGTCCAACAGTGTGTCGTTATATATTACAAGTCTATATCGGTCCGTCTCGCTAGTTGAGTAGACTCCCTTTGAACCTATACAGCTTGCCCTGCAATACAGAGAACATCACTCTAACTATAATTACTCTGCCACAGTTTCAGACACTATGCGATAAAGGGGTTCCAAAATGGCATGGACAAATTTCTTAAAACATGAAGCATGTGAACCTCTCCTCGAAGCCTATCAATTAAACCACGTATTGTGGATACTGAGAAGAAGTCCACAGCAATTACGTCAAATCGGCAGTGCTGGAGATTACATACGCTAGACACACCATAGTTTTTGGTAAAATTAAAGCCAGGTCAGCCTTCATTGGCAATACCCATATTTGTGGAATGATCCAAGGACGGATAATTCTTGTCTGGACACCGCTATTACGAGCATAGGAGCCCGAGGAAGTTACATATTACCAAGGATTCAATACTGCCGCGAAGTCAGCTAGATTACGGTACAGTGAAGCCCTCGAAGTTATCCCATTAAAATTCCTCAAAAAGTTGGGTCCGGATATGAACTCTCCTCGGAAGGTGACAAGCAGATCCAATTGTTGAAGGCCATGGGTTAGGAAACAGAGGATTGAATGAGCCGAGATATCCATAGTACCAAATCAATTAAACTAGGCCTATTATGTCTATTAGATGACAGCGTTCAGTGGCGATCTTTTTCGAAGTACCCTGTGTGGCGGCTGCCTTGCACTGGTAGGGGTGGATGTAGGGCAGAGAGCCCTCAGCTGAATCACCCAGCTATCACCTCTAGCCTGTATTTTGTTAATTTCCAAAAAATAGAGTGGTGAAGCCATTTCCAATAGATTTAAATATTAGCTATATTGTATATTTAGAAACACTAACATAGTATGGACACTGTATTAAATACGTAAGAAATAGTAATTTCACTACAGCCTTATGGCACCAAGACTACTTGTAATGGCTGCATAATGATTTGTAATGGCTGCATAATGATTTTGGAAAATTAACAAATGCAGGCCAGAGGTGGTATGGTATGTAAGTTACGCCTTAGGAGGAAGATTAAGAGTATCATTGCCTGCTAGGGATTATCCACTGAAGTTGACCCTGCAGATCTACAGGTCGGTACGACAGGATCTGCACCGAGCTGGTCTTGGCTCAGCTGGAGAGCGGAGGTTGACATGCTGCATGAGACCGATGGCGCTCCACATTAATTAGTGAACACCTACCCTCCTAGGCAATAGGCATTAATCGCTATGATGGGATAAAATACTCTCAAGTGATCACAAACTCATTGGTATACAGGGCACGGGGTGAGGGTGTAATTACTTTTCCCCCCCTTCATCCTTCTCACAAGGTTACACTTTTTGACCAGCATTTAGCAACTCGCATGCCTAGTGCCTCTCTACTATTTGCGTAAAAGAATGCTGATCGTTTTAGACACTAAATTTGATGCTACTGCAGGTTGCGAGGTAAGTGCTGGCCGGGGGGCGTTTTCGTCGCCGTGCATGAGGGAGACAACAGAGAGACCCTGGTTGGAGGGGCCCTGGTTTTAGCTGATTGGGAGAATATTGAGCTTGGGGCGGTGACATGCCAAATTTATGTAAGTCGTCACTTCTTGCATGGATCTTACTGCAGCGCCACACTGCGAAATAAGAAATTATAGCTCAACAGGTTTATTATTATAATAAATGCCAGTCCGTTCACAGCCCAAATCAGGTAAACCATCCATCCATCCTTAAAGTTCAGTTAGACTATCATTATACGTTCAAATCATGGGTTCTTTGCAGAAGGTGATCGTTGTTTACGGCGCCACTGGTAAGTGCGATAGTTACAACCACTCGGCTAATTTATGTCCCAACGGTTGACACTCCAAAAAGGTGTACAGGGCAGCGCCGTAGCTTTATCTTTGCTCAAGAGCCAGCAGCACTTTATCGTCCGGGCACTGACCCGTAATCCCCAATCCGAGAAGGCCCAGGAACTGGCTCGCCTGGGCGCCGAAGTAGTGAAGGCGGATGGGTTCAACGATGATGATATGAAAGCAGCTCTGACAGGTTCCTGGGGTTTCTGGCTCAATACTCATCATCATGACCCGGTTTGTTTACATTCAAGCCCCCTGTCTTTCTGCTTGATGCTCTTCTGTGCCAGGTAGCAGTGTCTTTATTTTCGGCTAATTTTTATTGCTTAGGCGGTTACAACCCCCTTTGGTCCTACTGATGAAGACCTTGGACGCCGACTTGTAACTATCGCGGCCCAAGCTGGTGTCAAGGTTTTTATCTACAGTACCTGCGAATCGCCGGATGAATTCACAAATGGCAAGGCGCCTGTTCCTGGCATGGATGGTATGTGCGCTGGCATCAGAGCTCCCCTCCCTTTCGCTCGCCGTTGGCTTGTAGAATAATCTAACCATCCGCTACTCATCCAGCAAAGCACCGCGTGGAACTCTTTGCCCGAGAGTTCGAGGAATTTGACTCAGTCATTGGAGCCTTCCCCGGCTGGTACTTCGAGAATTTCATCACTCCTGTGTATGCCCAGTCATTTGGTGGATTTCCAATTTACGAGGACTCAGAAGGATATCTTACCTTTACCAGCCCTCTTGTAGGAGGTGAAGGAAAGGTCCAAACTGTGTCGGTGGCAGACGACTTTGGAGAGATGGTTCACGGGATGTTTTTGAACCCGGAGAAGTGGAAGAACCAGACCATACAATGTTTGAGTGAGGCTTTCACTTACGAAGACATGGTGAAGACATTCACTGAAGGCAAGTTCTCCGATTGATAAGATTTTTAGACTTTGGTTTTTTATTCTTAATCCCTTAGACAAAGTGCTAACCATTTCTTCCAGTGACTGGAAAGAAAGCTCGCTATATTCCAATGTCCTCGTACATGGACTTCCCAACCCATGATAACACTGTCCTTATCGAGCTTCGCGACGTCTATAAATATACGCAGAACAACAATGGCTGGTTCTTTGGTAACCCGGACGACATTGTTACTTGTCAGCATCTTAAGAATGAAGCTCGGCAGGACAAGGGCTTGACACCGGAGCCTGTGATTAGTATGAGGGATTACTTTATCAAGCACTACGGGAGCAAGTCTTAGCATTTAGCTGCAATTGCATAGCAGATCCTAGCTACTCATAGGGCGGCCTGTCCTACTGAATTTCAACAAGACAGGGTGACAGCTCAAACACTGTGTTGAGGAGTACAGTCTAGTATCAATGCACGTGGACAAAACATTTTCTGAAACCAATCAGTCCACAATCTTTAATGGTAGTTAATCCTTCTATCCAATACATAGATTTAACTATCGCTGAGGGAAATTTATAGAACACCTTTATTAAGAGAACCTAGCATAGTACCACCGAAACTGCTACCTTATGTTCTTTTTACCCCGCGCTTGCCCTTATATTCATACGGAGATTTTCGGCGGCAAGTATACAAGTCATAGTATAAACTCCTTTACTAAATGCTCGACTTACTGGTAATCCCTTTGGAGTCCTTTCTATCCTGGTAGACTATCGCATGAAAGGAAGTTCTTTATTACATTGATGGCGATCACCCTCGTTACTAGAGTCCTGTCTAGAATTATGTATGAAGTCACCTGTTACAGCGCTATTTTACACTCGGAGGTCTAAACCGGTGGATTTCTATGTGCTCCTATTGATCCGCCGGACGCTGGTGTGCACCAATAGTTTTATTCTGGCATGGCTGAAATAGAATATCTGCCTGAGATCTAACCACCGGTGCATATTATCATACATTCACAAACTCGCGCTTGAAGAATTCAGCCACAGTCATGAGGGTCTCCCTCCCCTGTCGGCCCTTTGCCTCAAATGCGGCCTTCTTGAGTTCAGTCGAAGTCTCAATTTCGGTCGGGCCATTGCAGAAATATTCACCGTCTCGGATGGGTGTAAAAAAGAATTCATTTCGTTCCTGCTCTCGCCAGTGCTCCCCCAGAGTTTTCATATCATTGGGGTCTTCAAGTGGGATGTGTCTTGCCTTCTTGCCAGTGACTGTAATGATGTATATTAGATGCACGGAATCAATAAATACAACTCCTTGAATTGAGACTGACCTGACTTAAACGTGCGGACAACCTCTTCGGAGGATGCAATTGCACTGGTCCCCTGAATGGGACGACGGTTCCAGCGCAACGGCCGGAGGAGAACTCCATGGACTAGGTCGCCAAAGTCATCCGTTATGCTGATCCAAGGGAAGTCTTCCTTGCCGCCCCAGGGTGGAATTCTGTAAGTTAAGTACCCTTCCGAGTCGGGGATTGTTGGAAAGCCGCCAAACAGATCAGAAAATCCATCATGGAACCAGTTTTCCATATACCATGCAGCGGTGATGGGGGTGACGGTCTTGAAAGATTCTGAGAGTGCAACCTGTTCGACCCTCCATTTCACTAGAAACATAGGCAGATGGAGTGAGTAGGGGATCTTTAAAATGCAATAAAGGGGTAAAGGTAGGGTTGGTAAGAACGTACAGTCCAGGGCCGGAAGTGTGACAGCTCCGTTGGTCAACACGGCTGGAGAAGGTGCGGAGCTGTAGACTAAATGCTGGACGCCGGCACGAGCAGCGCACCGAACCACATTACTCCCCAGATCAAAGTCGTTGCGGCCAGTTGCAGTGAGTTCCTACTAATTTCAGGACAGAACAACAAAGAGATAAACAGCCAAGGAGTCGGGGTTGGTTGAACATACCGGATCCTCAGAGTTCGTGTTGACAAAAGCCGCCCAGCAGCCGCAAAAAGCGCTGAGCAGCTCCTCGTTCTTGAATCCATGCGCCTGGACAACCTCTGCACCCAGATTGGCCAGGTCTTGAGCTTTGGCTGAAGTAGCATTCCGAGTAATGCAGCGGACGTGGAAGCCAGGGTTAAGAAGCAGAGAACGAGCAACCGAGCCTCCTTGTGCCCCTGTGCCCAGCGGTTAATTTTCTAGTATCATATCTATGCCATCCATGGAAGAAAAGGTAGGAATTGGAAGAGGTCCCACCTGTGGCACCAAACACGGCGATCACCTTTTTGTCAGCAGTCATGACGACGGAGTCGAGGATGTAACTTTTTGGATAGAGAGATGGGGGGAGACGGATACCAAAACCTGTCAAGTTATATCTTGGGCTTGCCTGACTGGGGGGTGCTTTCGACTGTGCCACAATCCTGCTTAACCGGCAGTATGTTTCCATTCCCTCCCCTCCATTTCCTTGAGTACGGAGTAGCATCCGCAACATTACCGAGACTTACCAGACAAAGTACGTGCCGCGTGCAATCAGCCAATACTAATATAAATATGCATGCATGTATGTATATCTGCTGCACTGTGATACTGCATGTATGCTGCACTGTGACACTGTATGTATGCTACATCGTGATTCCATGACGTGGCCTCGGGTTAAGCGGCACATCGAAGACCTTTAACTTTGTCTACCTACTTCAATGCACAGCAGCCATAAAGTGGAGAAAACAAAAACAAATAAAATAAATGAAAATAAATAAAAATAATTTAGAAGAAATTAAAATAAAATAAATTAAAATAAATACTACTACTATTACTACTAATAACAATAATAATAGTAAAACAAAAAACACTCAAAACATGCTTCCAGTGAATGTCACGTGTTAAACCCAGAGAGAGTATACACGGGCTAGGAAGAATATCCTCATTACCTACCATATTACTATATAGGGTGCTAGATGCGACTGACCTGTCCACCTTGTACCTTTTTATGGTTAAGTGGTTCACCTCTACTAGCGCAGAGATAGCCAAACCATCACATGTAAAATAGGTACCATTTCCTTATTCTACCTAGGGAGAAAATCATTTTAGTGGTTCTCAGCCAGCCTTTCATGGACTATTGAATATGAGATTGCCTGTCGAGCTCTTCTGATGAGATTATCAAGGGGCCAGGGGCCACGCATTATGACCGTCCTGGGGAAAAAGCAAAAAAGAAAGGGAAAACAAAAAAAGAAAACAATTCTGTTACACACTTTGGCCCGCAATTAGAGACTTGCACGTCTAGTGCCTCCACTATAGAAAGTCGTATGAGCATACTGAGTAAACTGACAAAACAGATGCATTATTTATTATTGTAACAAAATAGTAATGTCTAATTTATTTTTGTAATGTATTTTTGACTGTGAATACAGTCTCATCCTTAGAGCATTTTAATTGTTAATCTTTTAAATATACTAAAGGTGAACTACTGCTAATATAGGCCTTAGGGGTGATATTGCAACCCCCCTCCCCGCCCCGAAAAAAAGGAAGGAAAAATAAAAAAGAGAAAGTTTAACACTGCTACTTTGCACTGTAGTATACCTACTAAGCACGGTAAAGGAGTATGTCTATTTTCTGGTCTACTACAGCCAAAGATAGCTCATCATTCGAGCTGGGAAAGCTAGTGCAGTAATGTATAATCAATTTCAGCTGGAGAGAGAGAGAGATTAAAAAATGGGCTCAAGAGAACGTAAGGGGACATTGGGGGAATCCAAAAACTTCACTAGCGTCGTGCCGAAATCCTTCACCAAGATATCAGCAAACTCCTTGTCCAACACATTCTGCCTCCCCATTAACATTATAGTCAGCTTCTGACTTCCCGGCCAAGTCAGAAGCATATGAGATCGGTAAGCAGGCGTGGTGAAGACCGGGGTTCCCATCTTCGCTTGAACATCACCTGGCAGCTGGAGCGCAGGAATGTTGGGAATGTTCTCGTGGAGGACCACCGAGTCCAGCTCCGTCTCTTGGGACCACTCAGTGCTGTTGGCCACCATATCAGTCCATTCAATTGTCTCGAACGCTAGCGACCGTGCATGCTGGCCCTGGATGGCCCGGAAGAGGTCCCGAACAGTCTCCACTGCCTTGAATCTAACGCGCACAGGCGTAGTGTTTAAGCACATCCCAATGGTATCCTCAGCCCCGGGAAGCTCGATACCCCGGCAGTTTCCCATTTGACCAAACAAGACATCTGAGTGGCCGGTCTTCTGCCATAGGACATACGCCCACGCAGCCTTGATTGCCGTGGCCATTGTGATTCCTGTTGGAGGTGAGGCAGGGGAGCACTCACCCATATTGATAACAGGGATATCTTCTCCCTCTGAAATGCGCGGGAGTCGGGTAATTTGAGCTCCAGCCAACAGGTCCCGCCAGAAGGTGAAGGCCTCTGGCGTACGTAGGCGAGCACATTCCCGCACGTACGTAGAGAAAGGACATGCCACGGCGCCTGCTTGGTTCTTGAAATCAGCACTCAGCGCCACTGAGATCTGCCTGAAGCAACCACCATCATACTGGGCATGAGATAGACGTAGCAGAAAGACATATTCGTGAGGACCACCCTGGGCAAGGGTGAATTTCAACATAGGCCGATCCGTCGGGGGCTTGGTCGCCTCGGATCCCTTGGCGTAAGAGTCTACCCAAGCCATCAGGTCTTCTCCTTCTGGTGCCTGGAGCTCCGTATATGGAGTTTCGACATGACGTAGCGTTACCTGCAGCATCTCGCCGTGGAAGGGGACAAAAATGGATCGGAATACAGAAAAGCGGTCAATGAAAGATTGACACCCCCGGCGAAGCTGATCCTTGTCCAATTCACCTTCGATCCTGAAAGGGTACTGTTCGATTAAATTATGACTGAGAAACATGCTTTGAGTCTCGCCAGTGGGCCACACCGCTTCGATATTATCTGCCGTTAGAGAGGGAGGGAGGTCGTTGAGGAATTCCACCCGAATCGTCTCAAAGGGATCTGTCTCCAGGACAGAAGAGGTGCGCGGATCAGGGCCAGCTGAAGCAGTGGACAGGCGGCTTACGCGTGCCAAAGATGATAAAGTAGCCTCTTCGAACACTTCTGCAACGCTGAAGACCAGTCCTTGTGCGTGGGCCATACTAGACAACCGGCGTGCTGTCAACGAATCTCCGCCAACATGGAAAAAGTTATCGTCGAGGCTGACGCTCTTCGCGGGGAGTCGCAGTAGCTCCTCACAGACCGACTGCAGGATTTGTTCTTTCGGGGTGCTGGGGGCTCGATACGGAGCTTGGTCCTCATTGTAGTTCAGGATCTCTGTCAAACTCAGTCTGGATGCAGACTCGACCATGTCCTTTCGAGAAACCTTTCCGGTGACCGTTCTGGGAACGAAGCGAATTGGGAGAATACTGCTGGGGATCATATAAGATGGAAGGACCTTGCGCAGCTCGGAAGTCGCGCGTTGCACCTGAGCACGATATGCGACTGTTGACGAGGCCAATATTGTCTCATCGTTGGACATTGGGGCACCAGTGACTTCATGGAGAGAGGGGTCATGGATGAATGCCACCAGGGTGGGAGGCTCTTCCTTACCGGCGGCCGAGACGAGGACATCAACGACGACAAGCTTTGCTGCTGGGAGGTGGGAGAGGAGGGTGGATTCCACTTCTCCTAGTTCGACCCGCTGACCACGGACTTTGGTCTGCCTGCCCTTCCGCCCCAGAAATTGGATTGATCCAGTGAGGTCGTGGTACCGCACCAGATCGCCCGTCCTCAGACATCGAGCCGGATCATCGCTAGGACGGATCTCCTGAAGCCACTTTGGCGGCTCCACGAACGTTGCTGCCGTCTGCTCGCCGTTGTTGAGGTATTCTGTAGCTATTGTCGAGCTCTCGATGAGAAGCTCTCCTTCCATACCAATCGGTCTCAGCTGAGTGTAGTCATCGGGGTTCACAACCCAGCAGGCGCCATTCGTGATATATCCGAGGCTATGGCTGGAAGGAGGCAGTCCCGTAAGTTCTTTGACTAGAACACTGCCAGCAAGCTCCGACATGCCGTAGACAGAGTGTAGTGCAACGTGGCCCGTCCACTTCTTCACATCTTCGTCCTTGACGGGCTCGCCAGTCAATAGAAGGGTCTTGAGATTAGGAAGTCTCTGAGGGTCCAGAGTTCGGGTCAATGACGGCGTCAAGAAGCAAAAGCTCGCGCCCAGACTGCACATAGTTAACTCAAGCTCGTTCTGTAGCTGATATTCCGTGGGAATGCAGATGCATGCACCCATTGCTAATGCATTTAGCTGCTCTATGATGCTTATAACGAACGCATACGACGCTCCTTGGAAAACACGAGTTTTCTGTTCCAGCCCAGTTCGCCCGCAAAATGCCTGGATTCCAGATCCATAGGATCCACGATTAACCACAACTCCCTTGGGCTCCCCGGTCGACCCAGAGGTAAAGATGGCGTACAGGGGATGGTGAGGCTCAGTAGGGGTTGGATCAACCTTGCTCGGTCCGACAGAGTCCACACCTTTTTTCCCTATGTCATCGTGGATTTCTAGCACAGGAGGGCCCAACTCTTGGGCCAAGGGCAGAGCTGCTGAGTTTGAGAGAATCACATGTACTGGGGTTTTTTGGCACATGGTCTGTAGGCGAAAAGTGGGAAAAGAAGGGGGCAGAAACACAAAGGCCCCTCCAGCCTTCATCGCTGCGACCATGCTGACTGTTGCCGCAACAGACTTTGGCGTAAGAATACCAACAAACTTTCCAGGTGTGACTCCGGTATTGACTAGCCGCTGAGAAACCTGGGAGGCCCATTGATCGAGCTCTTCATATGTCAAGGTGCCATCCGAGGTACAAACGGCTGTCGCGGTGAGGTCTTTCTTCAATCGCCCTTCGATTAGATGGTCCCCACGGACCCTACTCGTGTCCGCGTACTCTCCTGCGTGGTTCCATTGGAGCAGCTGCTTCCATCCTTGTGCGCCGATTCCTTGGAGGCTTTGAACGCGGGACCCCTGATCCGCGATGGATGCGGTCAGAATGTCAGTTAACTGAATAAGCATGATCCTGACCATGTCCGGCTGCAGCACTGCGGGATCGAAGTCGGCACATATATTTACTGACTGCGAGTTTTGAAACGCACAGAAAACCGTGAGAGGGTACTTCTGCGTGTAGGATGGAGCATCGATGTGTGCCTGCCCCTCACTCATGACCAGCAAGTTGCGAAACTGGCCTAGCACAACATAGTCTAGACCCTTGGTGCAATACTTTTCCAGTCCCAGATGTTCAAACTTGCTGATTTGATGATGGTAGCCAGCGATGGCGGCCATGCCCTCCCCCACCGTCGCGTCAGGCTGCATCTTGAAATGAAAAGGCATGATCGCCTGGTCTCCGTCATCAGTAGACCGTCCATGGTGAGCGGTGCCAAATAGGACTTCGCCAGAGTCGGTATGACTGGCGAGAACTAGCGCCCAAGCGAGGTGGAGAAAATAGCCGAGCTGCTCAGTGGTGGGCACATCCAAGTGCAAAGAGTCAAGGACGATGCGTTCGGTTGGGCTGGGAATGTACAAATCATGCAGTAGGGGGGGGAACTGGCTGAAGGCAGTCTCAGCAAAGCCACTTGCCGCAGTTTCATTGTATCTGACGGTCATGATGGTAGAATGTGAGGCCGTAGTAATGTCTGATAGAATATGTTAAAAATCGGACGAATATTCTTCATCAAAAATGAGGTGGTGAGGTAGGTATAAATATGCTTGCGGGCAATATTCCAAACTGTGTCAACCAATCTCTTAGTGGGGCATTTTACTGTGAGTCAATCTCCTTGCATGAGAATATGCAGCCAGTGCACACTCCTGACGACAGCTGAACCCGTGGAAATACAGTCACAAATCACGTCGAGTATTCGGAGTAGCTATAAGGGCTTAATTTTTGATTCAGTAGGTGTTAATGCTAGGTTATCATATTACTAATGTGAAAATAAATCCTGTTCGTATTATACAGCTCAAAAGTCAACATAAAGGTGAATTGTTCGCTTGGAGAACGATAAATATATATTTCTGCATTCCATTTTTATGTCATATTCAAAAGTATTTTTTTGCGTAGAATCATTTAATTTAAAGAATCTGAATTTACGTTGGAAACCTAATATAACCACATTGCAATTCATCAGTAGCCGAAATAAAAAGCTCAGAATTTCTCAAAAACAGTCATAATTACGCAGGCGTGGATGAGATTATTCAGACCTCTTGGTTTTTTCTTTTCTTTTCTTTTTTTCCTTTTTAAAATCAAAACCGGGCTAGAATTTGGATGCAAATTTTCTCAAATTGAACAATGGCACTCTACCCCTATTCTACATAATTGCAAGCTGCAGCCCTACCAGTCCACCAAGCATTCGGAGAAGTCTCTCACCGGGCGGTTCCAGTTCTTCTCGTCTACCAACCACGTAGCGATTCGGCCAAACCCAGCCACGAGTCTGTGGATTGATTCTGGAGATTCATTCCAAATGGCCCCTGTGGGACTGACCACCATGGCTGTGCCGTCCTTGCCTCCAATACCAACATCCATCACCAGCCCGGTTTTGGGCCGATAGAACAAGTACTTGATTCTCATGTTCTCATGAAGTCTTCCGAGGGTGTCTTCTGCAAAGCCATTTGCGCCCGTCCAGTTGAAGACCAGAGAATCCGCCACCTTCGGGAACAGATCCCTTATGTCAGGGTTCTGCTGCATAATCCTGTGCCATGGCGCATTGGCATGCCGTGTGAGCTTGACTTGCTGCTCTTGAACACGAAGCAACATCTGGATAACTGATTCATCGTGGCCATAACTGATTGCATTAAGGAGTCCCGCAATCGTGGGACCAACGACATCTGCTGCGCGGAAAGACCCCAGGCCAGCCACAGACGAGGGGAGGAAAGGGAACCCATAGCGAGCCATCTCCATATTTAGCATAAGGGCCGAAGTGTCCTTGGTGTGGTGAAGTGTCAACAAGGCCAACGCTACCTTGGGAACGATTGGTAAGGTAAGGTCTTGGTACTGGCGTCGCAGAGTCAAGATTCCCGGAAGAGGTATTTCTAGCACAGGAAGACCTTCGTCCACTCGGTCCGGGGAAGCTTTGACAGCGGGTGCAGGGGCTGGCCAGACAGCAGGCTGCTTGTTGGGCCCACAGAGTACCTCCATCTCGCCGGCATGATAATCCAGGGCCGGCTGGGCCGCTGGAGAGCTCCCGAAAATGTAATATGCATCGCTCCAGGCCTTGAAGGGGGTATGGGGCTGCGGTAAATGTCCGCTGAGAGCACCATCAAGGTCGTCTGCAAAGATTTCATGATAAGTCGCGTCCATAACGGCATGGGAGTCTGGGAGAGCGTTAGCAACGGTTTGCCATATTCCGATTTCCTTGATTACTCACAGCCGGAGATCAGGGCCGCACTATTGGTCTCCTTGACAAAGACGATAAGGCCCCGGAAGAGAGGACCGGGAAACCTTGGGCGGTGCATTTGAGGAAAGTCAAATGTCAGTTTCCGCACATCATCCAGACCATCGACAACTCCATAATCCACAATGCACTGATCCAGAATTTTCTTGGATGGCTTAATGGTGACATGGAGGGCCCGATCAACAACTTGTTCATCGAGAACGATGAAAGACCGCAGCAGTGGATGGACGCAGAGCGCTTTCTCAAGCGATAAACGCAGGTGCTGCGAGGGTTAGATAGGTTAGAGGAAGGGAGAAAGCAGTAACAAACTTACTTGGCTGTCGGCATTTACCGTTAATACTTCAACAAAGAACTCCCAGCTTTCTATCAGATTGTTTTGACACATGATATCCATAAAGTCCGTTGTGGGAAACACATCCTCCACGTCCTCATCCCAAGAGAGCTCGAGGGGCGCAATTGCCTCCTCGACCATTTGTCGAGTTGCTTGGAATTGGCGGGGATCCGCTAGGAGATGGACCATATCTTCAGCAGTTGGGCCCCCTTGCCGAGATATGGTGGGCGTGAGTGCTCCCTTGACTCCGTCGACCTTTACTGGAGCATTTTCAAGTAGTTTGATCTGGCTATCGATGGTGCGTGCAGTAGCCCAGGCAGCGAACGTCACTTCCGTGCCGGTCTCTCGTCGGATTCGAGAGTGAACCCTCATGGAAGTAATGCTGTCACTGCGTTCCGAAATATCGGCATGCACATCGAGATCAGTAGTAGTGACTCCAAAGGCATCTGCCCAGATCTGCACCACCCTATCACTTAGACTGGGTGGGTTGGCCGTGGCAATGCACCGACTCAACGACTCTTCATACTGAAGTGCGAGAGCTGCCAGTTTCGTTTTCTGCACCTTTCCGGAGATGGTACGAGGATAGTCCTCCTGGCCTAGCGCCTGCACTGATAGGATCTTGGTTGGGACATAGGCTGGTCCCATTTTGCTCAGAATCGTATTGGTGATTTCTCGAATTTGGTCACTTCCGATGTTTTGGTTCACGACAATTGCTGGGACCTCTCCCGCCACTGGATCAGGGAAGGGAATCGCCTGCGGGTTGAGGACAGACAGCTCCGGCACCTGATGCAAGGTGGATTCAATGGCTGGAGGAGAGAGGTTTTTCCCTGCTCGCACAATTAGTTCCTTATACCTACCGACGGGGTATAGTTGGCCGCTATGAATGACTCCCTGGTCGCTGGTATTGAACCATAACGTGCCATTCTCATCTGTGTAGAAGTCTTTGCTCTCTAACCCTAAGTATTCTTTGGAGGTCTGAAATCCGCTATAGTGCACCTCTCCTGGCGTCCCTAAAGGAATGGGGGACCGAGTCCCGGGGGCACAGATGCGGACTCTAGCGCCTGCCGTTGGCACTCCTGCAGCGACATGGCCATCTCGGGAGATAGAATCAATGTCTTCCACCGGCCCCGTTGATACATGAACGCCCTCGATCATTCCAAAGATGTTCTCGACCCGATCCGTAGGGAATGCAGCCTTGAAATCTTTGGCTACTGCGGTGGACAAGCTCATGCCAGAAAAGACGACTGCCTTTAAGGGCTTGATAACGTTGCCGGCAGACGAATTAGCTGCGACGAACGCATGCACTAACGCCGAGACCATGACCAGGTACATGCATTGTTCGCTGTGCAGTATTTCCATTGTTAGCTTGGGGTCAAACCCTGTATCAGAGGAGTAGACGAGCGTGGCACCCCGGGTCAGGGTTATTAACAGGCCCATCAACCCAAAAGCATGACTACTGGACACGAGCACCATCACCCTGTCACCTGGCGAAGCCGATGCGACACTGATCCGGGTCTCGAGAGCGCTCACCCAAGAGGCTACATCCGCAAGGCAGGCTTTTGGGAGCGAAGTGGTGCCGCTTGAAAAGAAGATGGAGGTTTCTCTGCTTGTCTCGTGGGTTTGTCGACACAGAGATGTTGGTTCATATCGTGGCTCATCCCGCCGCATAAGACTATCAAATGGAATCCAGCCGTCATTTCCCCCTTCAATCTGAATCGTTATAAAGTCCATGTCCGAGAACAACTCATCAAACCGGGCAGCCATCTGCCGGTCCTTCACAACGACGGCCATCTTTGAGGGCTTTTGGGACCCTATCACTGTTCTGACCATGTGGCAAGCCTCAGACGCATTTGACAGGCTTCTTGGGTCCATTGATATATGAAGACAGCCCAGTCGATATCCTGCCCATGTGGTCATGACATGCTCCACGCTATTTCCCAGGATGGTGAATAGCGAGCATCCACTCGCAAGCCCCAGGCTCTTGAGCCCGCAGGAAAGTCGTTGAACCCCATCGTACAATTCTGCGTACGTCCACTGCGCGTAAGCCGGTGATGCGTCTGAGTCGGCATCGTTCTCTCGAGTGCCGCCGAATTCATAGCGACGAGGATCCTGGTGTGCGCAAATCAATGCCACCGCATCAGGATGGTGTTCAGCGACCTGTTCCAATCGCTCCGCAAGACAGCGCGTATCGTTCTTAATAGACGATCCAGAAATCTCGCTCAAGGAAACCATATTGATTCAATCTCTGGAAGACCCTGATGGACAATGTGTGGTTTCTGTGTGGTGTTGCCAACTAGCTGTCAAGAACGGAGTTTGGCCTGATGCTATGGACAGCACGCCGACTACCATGCAGTCTGGCGATCTGGACTCGCTGATCTTCTGCATACGCTCACTGCCTCGGCTAAAGTGTTTGTCTATATGTCATAAAGCCTTATTGCCACACCGCTATGTGCCTAACCCCCCTTGCCACCCTCTTTCCCTAGTACCTTAAAACTAACACAATACAGGTCGGGTACGGAGATATTCTAGTGATACATTGTCTCAATCACTTAATCTCTGCTGATAATTTCTGTAAGTCCACGTCATTGACCTATTTCTCAAGGACAATACAGCCCCAGGTGGGAGGGATTTTGAACACAGCTGAATAGTGATCGCCATCTTTTCATGCATGGAAAAGGAAGTAGAGAACTTTGTTTCTGTGTTGCCATCACAAAGACCAGACTGGTGTGCTGAAATGTGCAGGTGAGAAAGGAGCTATACCATGCTAAGCAATTGAATGACCTGCTCCTTGGTCGCATGTCAGCCAGCCAGCTTCTCGTGGTACGCCTCTTAGCATAGCGCGCTTAAACCAGAGCATGAGACCTGTGCTAATGCATGTTCTTTGGGAGAATCGAGTGGCAAGATTTGGGACAAGTGGATGTGGCCCTCTGCTTAACCTACAAACATGCGATTGAGGTAAATGAAGTGCTTCATTGGCCTGGGTGGAGCATTATTGAATGGAATGCCAGAAGTCATCTCTTACTGGAAGCATGTTCCATGTCAGATATAGCTATGTTTACATTCACTATTGACTTGATACATATCGTGATTCCGATTACCCGGATAGTGTCTGAAATATACAGATAAGGGCTGCGCACACCAACTTTCTTGCGAAGGCGAACATTGGTTTTCTTTTCTATTCTCCTATCCGATAAGCGTTTTCTCCCTCCATGACTATTTGCCAAGAACCACAACCGGGCCTGGCCGTGTTGTTTGCACGACAGGCATTATCAAGCGGGCCAAGAGCTGCAATTGAGGACGAGAATCATGTCATCACGTACGCCGAGCTTCACTCCAAGGCTATAAGTTTGGCTTGCCAGATACGCAGTCATTCTCCAGCGGATACGGCACCTGTTGGAATTCTCATTCCGCGCAGCATAAACCATGTTCTTTCCCAGGTGGCCGTGATTTGCGCGGGGAGGGCATGCGTTCCGCTGAATGAGCAGCTTCCCGACTCTCATCTGGCGAGTATGCTGGAGAACCTGGGCGCGAAGCTTGTCATTACCGATGCAGCCCACAGACATCGACTACCCTCCTCGGAGCGCCTCGTTGTGGACCACTGCAATATTTGTACCGATAAAGATGAAGACTTTGAAATTGATCAAGTCGGGCCTGAACGCTGCTCCCACGTCCTGCACACATCGGGCACGACGGGGAAGCCCAAGGCCGTGGAGGCGCTGGCCCAGGGCATCATCAACCTTTGCCTGGACCCGATCGATCTAGTCAAGTTCGGTCAACGCGTTGGCCACAGCACCAACGTCATCTTCGATACGAGCCAGGTCGAGATCTGGGCTTCATTGCTTCGGGGTGCAACGATGGTGGTGATCCCAATGGCGACAGTGCTTGATGCCGCCGCACTGGGCGTCTTCATTCGGACCAAGAGGCTTGATGTCCTCCAGCTCACCACGTCGTTGCTTACTGTTACAGCCTACGCATGCCCCGGAGCGTTTTCCACGCTGGACACTCTAATCACCGGTGGCGAGGCCATCAATTGCCAGAGCATCAACTCCATTTTCAAGGCGGGAGCTCCACGGCGCATCATCAATGGTTACGGACCTACAGAGTCTAGTGTATACACGCTGATGCACAAGGTTTCACAAGAAGAGGCCCAGAAGGGCGAAATTCCTGTCGGCAAACCATTGCGAAATGTTGAAGTGTTCATTGTCGGGGAAGATTTCAGCCCAGTCAAGCCGGGCGAGGTCGGCGAATTGCTGATTTGCGGCATGGGCGTCGCCAGGGGCTATATTGGTGAATCCATGAAGACGAGCAAAAGTTTCCTGTCCTTGCCACATCTCCCTCGTACCGTAACCCGAGGACTGGCGCACGCATACCGGACTGGTGACCTGATGCGAGCGGACGAACAGGGCGTTCACCAGTACATTGGACGCATGGACAACCAAGTCAAGATTCGGGGCCAGCGAGTGGAATTGGAGGCTCTAGAGGCCGCTCTGCTGCAGACGAATCTGGTCAGCGCTGCGGTGGTTATCAAGATTACGCCGAAGGAAGTCGACAGGGCCCAGTTCCTGCTTGCCTACTGCATTCCAACCTCTCCCGACGTCACTCCCGCAGCTGTGGTGAAATCCTACCTGGAACGTGCTCCGCACCTGATGATTCTACGCGTCAAGTTCATAGACAACCTCCCTTTAATGGCTACAGGGAAAGCAGACCGGAAACGGTTGGAGATGCTCTACGACGAGGAGCTGGCGCAGTCCCGAACCAAGGCCGCCCAATCCCAGGTCGGGAGCCGAGACGTCGCCTCGGAGCTGGAATATATCTGGATCGACGTCTTGGGTCTTCCAGTGGAGCGTCTTGCTCCCACCGATGACTTTCTAGCAATGGGCGGGACGTCTCTTATGGCCGCGACGATGATCGCCCGCATCAACCAGACGTTCGACATCGGCGTCCGATCCCAGATGTTGTACGAGAACACCACGCTAGAGAAGCTCACGCAAATGGTGACTAACGTGCGCAATGGCGGCGACCAGACGGAAACCCAAGCTGCAGAAGAGATCTGGTGGCATGACTCGCAGCTCGGCCAACACTTGCGGCCCCTGGAAATGCCCATTCCACATTGGCAGGATCCGTTTGAAGGCCGGGTCTTCATAACCGGTGCTGCAGGATTCGTGGGAGCGCTCCTACTGACAACCCTGGCGGCACGGCCAGACGTAAAGAAGGTGGCCTGTCTAGTGCGAGCCCCGGAGAAGAAATCGGCGATGCGTCGTATTCAGGATACATTGGACCAGTACCAGCTCCAGGTTGACCTGGAAAAAGTCATCGTGCTTCCAGGCAGCTTTGCTCTGCCCCGGCTCGGTCTGAGTGACGATGAGTACGACTACTACGCCGAATGGTCCAGCGTCGTGTTCCACCTGGGGGCCAAAGTGAGCTATGTGGCACCCTACTCTTCCCATCGCCAAGACAATGTCATCGGAACCGTGAATATGCTTGAATTTGCCAACCACAAGCGGCTGAAGGCCATGCACTATTCTTCAACCATCGCTGCATATGGCCCAACGGGATACGTCACAGGGGCTAAGCTCCTGCCGGAGGACGAGCGTCCGGCAGCTCACCTGGCTGCGTTACCCTATGACACAGGTTACGCCCAGAGCCAGTACGTGGCCGAAGGTATCGTCTGGGCCGCGATCGACAATGGCTTTCCAGTCGCGGTGTACCGACCAGGTTTCGTCCTCGGCCACAGCCAGAAGGGGATTTGTAACCGCAACGACTTCGCCTCGCGACTATTCACCAGCTGCATGGAAATGGGCACGTACCCGATTCTCCCGGACCAGCGCAAAGAGTTTATTCCTGTAGACTTCGTCGTCAATGCGATGCTGCACATCTCCACCTCGCACCACAATCTTGGTGCAGCATACAACCTCGTACAGCCGGAGCTGGAGAACGCGATCGACATCAATACCTGCTTTGATCTGCTCAGTCGGATTGCCCATGTACCGATCCGCGGCATTGCCTATGCAGACTGGGTGAGCTCACTGTCTACACGCTTGGACGACCCCCTGCATCCGCTCACTCCGATGCTGAAGGAGAAGGTCCTGGACGACAAGAGCCGCTGGGAAGTCTACGAAAACATGGCTGAGTACGGCCGGGAGAATATCCGTCGGGCTTTGCAAGATGCTCCTCACATTCTCCACTGTGGCTCTATTGAAGACCTGTTCCGCCGCTCACTGTCCAGCTGGCTGCCTGACCGCAAGCGTCCCATCGTCGAGTCCGTCCAGATCCATGTCAATGTAAATGGAATTGCCCAGGTGTGAGACCTGTCTCTTCCTTGGAACTTTGGCCTCTATCACTATGCCAATGATTATCTCGGGATAACCCTTAAGGAATGCTAATTTCGGGGCACTCTAAGTATTAGTAATTAAGAACTTGGGACTCGGACTACTGAGAATGCATGTTTTGAGGATTCATTATTGCCACAGGTTTCACGTAGAATGTAGTATTCTCGAATGCACACTGCTTTGGTGTGTTTTTGTCGTTCTACATACCTACAGTATGTGCATCTTTCGGCTGGAATGTAGCAACTTGTACTGGCGTCAAATCTTGTATACATTGCATCAAAGATCGGCATGCTTGTACGGAGTCTCGGAAACCGTACGACTCATGTTGTAACTAAATGGTATTATGTTGAAAAATACGACATACTGCACTTGCCTGTATTTAATACCTTGCAGTAAGTAGCGCGAGGCTTAGTATCTATTTCGTTCGGAGGACCGTGAACAGACCAAGCATTATTGCTACACTAATTTTAGTAGCGTTCATATTTTACGCTTCGGGATATTTTGTACAACTTCAGCATGTCATGATGATGGGACTATTTCAAGTCTAGACTCAGGCTAGCTGTAGATCTCTGTGGCACCCTTTCCGAGCGGATAACCGGCTAAGAAACTTTGTGATCCGAGTCCGATCTCGGGGCTATCCAATTCAGGATCCACCCTCCCTTGGCTAGGAAGCTCGATCGACAGTTGACATTGAGTTTTGGTTGGGGTTGCGGCCCGCTCGGAAGGGCCGAGGCCCAACTTTGCCCTTTACCCACTTTGCAAACTAGCGTCGGCATATGTATTGTAAGATTGGAAAGTTAATTTACCATCTTTTCATTTGCACATAGTAATGCGAAACTTTATGTATGCAAAGATCAGCATGCGATCGGTTCATTCCTAGTCGTATTAGGGTTGTTGTTGCAGTCATGCGGTGTGATCCGAAGATTGTTTATTTGTATTCGTTTTTTCCAACTTCACCAAATCGGAAAAGCAAGGTGATCTTGGGATACATAGACTAAATTGAACACTGCTGCATGCTACTAAGTGCATGCAGGAAGGGAAAACAGGCAGCTCAGGCAAGGCCCACCTGTCAGTACGGGATAAATCGACAACTGTTCCTGTCACGAGGCAAGTGTGACCTGACAAATCAATGTGATGCGTGGATGATGCATATGCTCCTGCCATTTCTCTACTTGGAGGCATGCAAATACCTATACTCACATGCCTGAGTAGAAACGAGTTCAGCTGCATCTCTGAGAGCTGAAATCAGATGGGATTAAGCTGAACAAGCTGACTGCTTGTCATTCTCCACAACGACAATCGCACCGAAAATCGCTGCTGGTACGTACCCAGGGCACGCACTACCTACGCATGATCTACCGGACATCAAATTCCTGGAGGTACAATGTTTAAGATGCAAGTAGAAATGGTACAAGGCGCTAAAACATATCCTTTCTAACCACGACAAGCAGGTCGGTGAACAATCTGTATAGTTGGCTTACGTGTTCGTGATGGGGGTTACATACTTCGGACTCATGTCCCTGCCAAAAATAAAACAGCAGGATGAGACATTCCGGTAATCAGTTCTTACACTAGCAAAGTATACATGAATTATGGATGATAACAGCTAGCCACATGCCATGTGAAACAAAGCTGACAAATGTTCGGTCTTTGACGATGACAAATTAGTCGGAAGTCTTCTCTATCTCTCTATCCCCAGTTTTTTTGATCCTTCGGCAGGCACTCGCAGGCCTAGCCTTTTAGTAAAGAACAGGCAGTAATAGTAATTATGATGATAGATTGGGTCAGTGTAGAGGGACGGGGACCAGGGATCATGTATCGCCTGGAATATCCCGCTTGCTCTTTGTCATAATGACCTGTCAAATTTGCTACGGTCATACTGCTTACGGGGAAGCTGGAATAATTGTCGTTTGTCTGATGTCTGACTATCATGCTAATTCCAACAAACCCCTGGTAGAATGGAGAGGCCGAACCCTTCATTGGAAGGCAAAAACTCGGTTCAAGACGTACTTCTCGAATGTAACGTAGGAAGGCTTTTTAGTAGAGCTAAGGCTACGTATCTGTTAATTTGTGAAGTCATAGTGGTAGATGTGTTTCGGAATTGCCGGAAGGGAATGTCATCATCTTGAAGAGAACTTCCCCCAGGCTGAACCCAAGCATGGCAATAGAACAGGAAATATATCATTGAATTAAAATAAGATCAGGGCATGAACGTCTAGAATAACATTTGAGAGCAATTTTCAATTCTGCGGGCTAGTTCTGTCAGGCCCTTGCCCCATCCTCGTCAACCCTATAGAGTTTTATAGGTCTCACGGAGTCTCGCAATGAATGCAATTGTTGCAATCTCAATTCTCTACTGGCGCCGCTTCACGGATTCTAACCGGCCAGTTGCTCTGTGCAATGGTGAAATGACTACGGTGCTGCCAATCGGTGCCTAGCTTCTCAAACTCGAAGTCAAAGTCTCTCACCAAGGTCGCCGTGATCTTACCAATCTCCGCAAAGGCGAACTGCTTGCCGGGGCAGCCGTTGTATCCGGTGCCGAACGTAATCAGGTACTTCTCGTAGCGTGACGCCTCGGGGCGCAGCCATCGCTCCGGGTTGAATACCTCGGCATCCTCGCCGAAGTAGCGGCGGTCACGCTGGATGACGAATGGGTTGACGGAAAGAATGGTCTGTGCTAAAAGTTAGTAACTGCGTTGTTCTTTGATTGAATTGACCAGGTCCTTGTCGACTTACTCCAGCCTCAAAGTGGTGATCGCCTAAAGTAATCCCATCCTTGGGGGCCACACGAGGCAGACCGAACGGTACAGGGGCGAAGTATCGGAGGGTTTCTTTAATCTGTGATGATGAGGTTAGTTAGATGAGGGTGAAATTGATAATAGACTAGATCTATGCGCGAATGCTTCAACTTACACAAGCCTGGAGGTAAGGAAGCTTCTTCGCCTCTACGTGGAGGACGACGGGAGACAGTTCACCAGCCGCCTGGGCCTGGTTCAATTCTCTCTTCAGCTTGGTCATGCAATCAGGGTTCTTCAGGAGAAAGTAGAACATGTTTGACAACGCTCCCGTCATAGTCTCCGAGCCGGCAATGGTGGTCATGCTGGCAACGGCCAGTATCTCTCGCTCCTCCATGCGTTCGGGCCACTTGCGTTGGTTGTTGATCCACTGAGAGACCATGTCATGCCTGGATTTCGGGTTGTCCTGGCGTTTCTCGACGGCGGCGCTGACGGTTTCGAAGATGTGGGCATGCGGCTTAAGCCCAAGGTAGCCAGAAAAGGGACTGTGCAAGATAAACGGGTGTAACCAGTACATGTAACCCATGACTGCCTGGTAGATCATGAGAAAGCGCATGCTACTGATGGAGTTGCCAATGTCTTCACCCTTGCCGACGAATCCCAAGCGCTGCGAGAAGGTCAGCTCGCCAATGACGTCGAAGGAGACGTAGTTCAGCCAGTCTTCGAAGTTGACCGCCTCGCCGAGGCTAGCGAGCTTCTTGAGCTGCTCCTGGAGCTCCTGAATGCAGGTATCAACGATTTTCTCCGATTTGATCAGGTTCGTGAGCGTATAACTGCTAGCCGTGATTGATGATCGTTCCCGGTGCCGCTTGGGGTCGCATTCTGACATGGGCGTTTGGTGATGCTTGTCCGGGACGGCGAGCGCTTGATACCAGTCCGCCTAGGGTCTAGGTTAGTGACGGTTTTCTTTGCTTCAATGGTTGGAGTGCTTGGTTCACCTTCTTGTATGACGGTGCCAGGATAGCGGCGATGCTGTCGGGGTGACTGCACGACACCTCGTTATATCCGATACGGACAAAGTCGCCTGGGTGTATAGTCAGCCACTATTGCTACTGTATGTTCCAAAGAGGAGAATTTCGTACCATATTTTTGATGTTCTTTTTGCACAGCGTATTCAATATCGCCCTTGGCAGTATGGTATATCTGCCAGAGGGTCGACACCGATGCCAACCAAGGGCCCTTGATATGAGAGATGGGAGGAGTAAACTTCCGCCGGAGCAGGAAGCCGAGGACAGCCAGAAAAAGATAGGGCAGCAACGCCTGGAGGTTGCGTGGAAGCTCCAAGGCCATGGTGACCGAAGGCTTCTCAAACCAATGGTATATGGTCAGTTACAATCGTGGCCGGTCGATGAGTACCCGATTGAGAGGAAAACTTTGACAATAATATATCCTTGTACAGAGATGGATCCACTGTATATCAAATATTGACTGGGCATTGCATGTCTCATGCGTCGTTAGTATCCTACTATCCCTATCCCCGCCGATGCAGGTGCGACCTCTGCAAATTCTTCACTTAACACCTGTACCTCTTGCATTACACAAATCTTACGCATCAGACCGTACGGTGCTTTCATTCACGTGGGAATTGCTTACGTGTCGCTTCATGTCGTGCAATGCAAGGCCCAGGCTAAAGGCTGTCTGGAATATCTCCCCGGATCACGCCGTAGCAACGCCACCGCCCAAATGGAGGTCTGCAGAAGTACAACCCCTGTCCTGCACAATTCTAACTTTCCAAAAACGCAGGGGTGAAGCCATTTCCAATAGATTTGGATTGCACTATGCATTTAGAACCACTAAAATAGTTGGGCGCTGTACTACATATGTAAGAATTAATAAATTAAATACAGCCCAATGTCTTAAGACCATTATCTGTGGCTGCATCTGGTTTCAGAAAATTACAGTTTTGCAGGCCAGAGGTCGTGAGGGCTGGCTGACAATGGAGTGGGGACAGAAGTCAGTGTCGCTTAGAAGTTTGTCACATCGCATGGGGTCATCGCGTTAATGCAATGCAGGTGGGACACCGCCATCATCAACCTTGGTCTACATTGTTTCTAACCCGGGCAGTGTTTGGAGACAGTGACATGTCGTACCTTGGGCATACCAATACTACAACTCATGGTGTTGCATTCAGGTTAAAAGCAAATAAAAAAATTTATTGTCCAGTAGTTAGCAATCTAGTAAATTAAAAAGAGCACAGACATGAAATATGAGCTAATAGTCTAATAGAAGCCCTGGCTGGCAGACAAGATTCTGCAGCCGTAGAGAAAAACATAGAATCTTAACCCACAACTTGGTTCACGAGTTTGAACGACCGAAGCACGGCGTCAACCTTGGTATGCATCTCATCCCACTCGGCCATTTCCTGGCTCATGTCAGTGATGGCACCTCCTGCTCCGATCCTCCATGTTTCGCCTATGTCGGTGGTCTCATCATCTCATCGGTAGGCAGTTCGGATGACGACAGAGAAATCACCTCCTCCTCTTACGTCTATGTACCCCAACACCCCCGAATAGATTGATCGCGGCTTCTCTTCTTCGATCCCGCGAAGCAACTGACACGATCGCTTCTTCGGGGCTCCTGTCATACTTCCGGGCGGCAAACTGGCCGCGAGCACGTCGATGCCCATTTCTAGGGGCCGGTATCTCGGGTCGTTGGTAGCGTATGTAGGCTGCAGTATACCTTCTATGACGGTCACCAGCTGATAAACGCTTTCGTACTCCTCAACCTGCATCAGCGAGGTCGTTCGCACGTCCCTGGAGTTCTTGACGCCGGTAAGGTCATGACGGATGAGGTCGACGATCATCAAACTCTCGGCCCGTTCCTTAGGCGAAGCCAGAATGTTCGTCGCCGTGGCCAGATCGATGAAAAGGGTGCTCCCATCGGGGTTCTCCTGTCGCTTCTTGACGGTGCCCTTGATGGGCCGGAATTGGCAGGTGACCTCGTCTTCCGCATTGGGCCGAGTCCACGACAGGAACCGTTCTGGCGAAGATGACAGCACGGTGATCGGTCCGAGACGGATGAATGCACCAAAGGGGGCCGGGTTGACTCTGCGGAGGCGCAGGTATCGTGTCCAGGCCGGCATCGGCGTGGAGATATCAATCTCGGTTTGGTCGGTCAGACATAATTCGTAGGAATTGCCGTGCTGGATCTCTGTCTTGCACTCCCGGATCTTGCGCGAGTATGCGGCCTCGGTGGGGATGGTGAACTTCGGCCGTGGACCTTCCAAACTAGCCGCTATATCCGCTGATGTAGGTAGGGATGAAGTGCTCGTCGCTGGACTATCTAGACTGTTGTCCTTGGACGACGTAGACGAGGCGGCGCAGCTTGGCCCGTGCTTTTCGAAGCCGTTCTCCTCGGGGAACAGGTCTGGGTGGGCCAGGCGATCCAAGATGGCAGCCGCTTCGTCGACCCATTTGTGGTCATCAGGCATGATACTCTGGACATGCAGCTGGCGAGCAGTATGGTCAATTACAACGCTGCGTTCGACGAAGGCAAACTGTAGATCCGGCCGCTCGGGCTGAGGCGTGGTGTCAATACCCAAGGTTTCTAGACACGCTTCGTAACTGATGTATCCCATCAGTCCTCCCCAGAACGGTGAGTCCTCATTACCATGAAACCGCTTTCTCTCCTCCATGAAACTCTTGAGAAAGTCAAAGACACGGTGATCACCATCACCCAGGGCCTCTGTGGTCGATTCGTCGCCCTTCTGTAGACTCACGTGGTTATGCCCTGCACTGTAGGAGATTCGGAGGGTGTCCGGATAGACCAGCCCAACAATAGAGTAGTTGCCCAGAGGGGAATTCTGGGCCATCTCCGAGTCTAGAACCACGAGCTCATCGTCGGTTGGTTTCAGGTGGTCTCGGATAAGGGTGACACTCAAATTGCCCAGGTCCATCGTTTTCGAGAAGACCGCGTTGGACACCGAGGCCGTATCGGATATCACATCCGCCCGGGAGCTTCTATGGCGACTAGTCCATTCCTTGGCGGCCTGCCACCAATTGCAAACCACTTGACGCGCCTCGGGGCTCGAGCAGACAGATTCCGGATGGAACTGGACGCCATAGAAAGGCTTCGTTTGATGTTTCACGGACATCAGGATATGTGTCGGGTTGAGGCGGTCGAGGGCGATCCGCGGGTCTTCGGGGGTAGGAGGGCCCCGTGAGAACGCATGGTCAATGTCCCATGCCAACGGCACAAGTTCTGGACATGTTTTGTGCGGAGTCCAGAGGCTCTCACTGTCAGTTGGATACCCGAGAACTCCATGTAGGGAGTGATACTGCACGGAGCGCAGTTTGGGAATTCCCCTGAAGAGGGGATCATTGCAGCACTGAACATCGGTTTCGATGCCGTGACGAGGATACGGCAGCTGCTCGACGGTGCCGCCGAAATGGACCACGAGGCTCTGGAATCCTAGGCAGATTCCCAGAACAGGCAACATCTGATCTTCTGGTAGAGACCATACTTGCTGAATACAGCCCACGTCGGCCGGTTTGTAGGGGCTGCCGGGACCTGGACCGACAATGATGCCCGCGTACGATTCATGGAAGTTGGAAGGAAGTGGCGAGTCGATTGTGAGTTTTGTTACGGGAACGCCAAGGGATCCTTCAACGAGGGTAATAATGTTGTTGGAGAAGGAGTCGTAAGCGTCGATGAACAAAATCCTTGGTTGGGCCATAATGACTTGATTATGGGGAGAAAAGTTGACTTCTTGGAGGGTTCAGATCTCGGAAATGTGTCAAATGGAAAAGCCAGCCCCCAGCATCAACGAGGATTTGTACTAAGTACTTTACTAGCACTCTGCGATATCGAGTAGTATATCAAATTAGGGCTGATATTCTGTCCTCCTTTGTAAGTCACGGTGGCTGAAACCAGAGTGCCCCCTCTAGCTTGTATTCTTATTTCGTGGTGTGAAATTTGATATACACTTTACAGGATTAGCGTGAGTTGATCATAAGACTGTGGAAAATATATTATTTTTTAACTTCCATTGGTAATAATATATCCCTGTCAGTATTGTCAAACTCTGACGGCACAGCGGAGTGAATCGAGCAGCGTGGGCAAAGATGTTTTTTGTAAAATTATAAACTGCCACAAAAAAAATACAATTATTTGTTTTAAAGTTTATGGTTATGCTAGATAACTTTAGAAGTAGGTGTGTCTATTAATTTATGTAGTATATTTTTCAAATTTCTTAAAAAAAAGAAAATATAAGAACTATTCAGGGGTAAACAAGTTTTCTTTTTTATTGATTCAGTACAGTCTACCTACCGAGCTACCTACCTACACTACACTGCTACCACTATTTTAGATGAGGGGATTATGTCATGTAGCTGGAGTACGCATTGTATATAGAATGTGACATTACAACCATGTCATTCCCGTCAAGACACCTCTAGTAAGGCATGACATCCGAAGAATTAATAAGCGCACCCCCGTATAGTGGAAATACTAGGCAAACGAGATGATAATTGCAAGGCAGAGGGTGTAGCTTGCATGATGTTAGAGAACAATTTTTCCTCGGATGAACCCTCGCACCCCGTTACTGAGCCAGCATTCTTCCCCATCCCTCAAATCGGACGCAGAAACAGTCTCCTCGGTGCAGAACCCATACGTCAACGCGAATCGCCGCGTAGTTCCTGCATTCCCACCGCTGGAAAGAGGCGGCGTAATCCACTGCGGCATTTTATCCTTTCGTGCCTGCTCAGCTCCATGTGGAGCTGACAGTGCGGGGCGCCTGAAGTACGGCGTGGTGATGCTTCCCTCCATAACTTCTCCCTGCAGATTCACCATCAGCACCTCTGCGGGATCCTGTGGAGATTCGATTCCTGCCCGCAAACGCGCTGCGGTATAGTCGTCACGCCGTGTAGTCTTGTGTGTGGTGAATACTGAGGGGATGGTCCCCTGGGAGTCCACAAGTACACGCCATATGGTGGACAAAACGTCCATCTCGGAGGGGATGAGAAGATTCAGTGGGTCAGGCGAAGCCATGGTGGCCTCGACCGTGCCAGTCCCCTCCTTATCGATGGCAATTCTAAGTCGCCACGGCTTTGTCAAGTCAGGAATGAAAGCATCCAGGAACTTCAGGAATTTTGTCTGGTCCTGCTCAAGGAACTTGATGGCGCCTGTCCAGTTGAAACAGCGTGCCGCGCTGAGGAGACGGTCTTGGTGGTACGGAAGGAGGTAGTACGGCGACGTGCACTGAGTATCGGGGTAAGAATTCCGGGCTCCTTCGACCATTCCCAGCAGTGCCGGGTCATAGCGAAGAGTAGATATCACATGGAATGGTTGGGTCATGGTGATCCTCGGTGGCGATTCCAGGACAGGCGATCGTGCACAATAGAAAAGACGTAGTTGAGCTGACCAGGCAGGTGAAAAAGAACGCTGAGCACCTCGTGTGATTGATGGTTTGTGACATCGACAACTGCATATTACTAGTAAGGAAGTGCCTCTAGAAGGCAATCTCTTCACGCAGGTTGATGTGGCCGCGAGCCAGCTGAGGACCTTGCATTGTGCTCCGATCAGCCAGCCACGAGGTTGATCGCTTACAAATGGGGAGTGACTATAGTCACCAAAACAACATTAGCTGGAAATGTTACACCTTCTGCATATCTCGTGTCTGCACTCTACGAACTAGGATAAGCATAAACGAAAACACCAACATGCATTAATGACCTTTTAATGAAATAAAGGTATCTTTTGTTTCTGAAAACTTGACCTGAAAACATTCTGGCCGAAATACACACTAAAATTGACGCTACTGTAGGTTGCAAAGGGTTGGCCAAAGTGGGCATGAGCATTTCAACTAGACCTCCACTTAGATTCCTGCCGGATACTATTGCAAGCCAGCATGCACACCGAAATACCCCCTACTAATGCCCAGTTGAGCATGACTGCAAGGTGCTCGGTGTACGATGGAGAATTTGCATCATCACTGATTGCTGGTCGAACATGGATTCGGAGGGTTGTGGGTCTATTATTCGTTCAGGTCGTCAATTACGCGTTCCATACTTGTTTTCCTCGCAGGATAATTGAAATCCGATCGTTTTGACGACTCGAAGCGTTTTAGACCGTGCACATGTGACGAGCGATACAATGGATCTACGATATACGGAATGGGAGGAATTTTGTTTGGAGGGTCTGGTTACCGAAAGATCAAAAAATTTCCGTATAGGAAGGACAGAGAAAATTTATATGGAAAAACATATCAGACCAACATTGCTTTCCTTATAGCTTTGTAGTTCAGATACCGGGGGTAACTTATAGAGGAGGTCTATTTTATGGCTTCCAGTCTATCATAGTAGGAAATGTTTCCGAATTTTCTCACGCGGCCAGGAGAAAACAGCAGCATCGGATCAGACGTGGCTTTGCCTCTCCGCATGTGTTCTATAGAACACAGATAGTTTATTGGAATCAGATAACGGCACATATTGTAGAAACAGACACATACTATGACCGTGTCTCTATCAGTATCGAACACGCACGTTGGATTTGGCTCGTTATTGTCTCGTTCTACCACGCTAGTTAGCCACAGATAACTTGGGAGCTGGATGAGAAAACCATACATGTGGGCTATCAAAGAGCGTAAAATGACTGCCGGCAACCTCCAGAGAAGCCACGATGAAGCTCGCGTCGCAGTCTTCCCACCCAAGATACGTAGAACTCCTGACACCGTCTAGAAAGTGCATTTCTTCAACCTCCGGATTCACCGGGTCTGTCGCGCGCAGGAGCACTGCAGGTGGACGGGATGAAAGAGGCGGTGGCTGCCAGCCACATTGGGCCTGGTAACAATGCAGAACACATTGCTTAGCCTGCGCCAAATGAGTGTCAGATATTTGAGATGGAAATTTGAAGCTGGCGACGAATTCGTCCAGGGTGGTTGGGCAATGGGCCTTGACAGATTCCGTAAGAAAGATACTGTCAATTAGAATGACTCCTTGCACCTTGTATTGGGGCAGTTTCATGAGTCGAGCTGCCACTTCCAGCGCCAGGGAGCCCCCGAGAGACCATCCTAGACTACGGTCAGTGCAAGTAACCTCTTCCCCAAAGTACTTAGCACGACTTACCTCCCAGGAAAATGTTGCCTGAAGGGATTACCGACCTTACTAGGTGCGTGTATACCACGCCCATCTGACGGAACCCATGCTGCCAATGCCCTCCCTCGTTAAAACGCGCGTTACTGATGCCGTACACCGGTCGGTGCAGATCAGCAAGGCGAAAGTATGGGAAGATAGTGCCTCCAGCATCGTGAAAAAGAACCATGGGAGTAGCTGTGTCACGGGTCTTGGGCCCAGGCTGAATCTGGTAAGGATTCTGTTCCATGTTGACGACCTGCAAACCACAAAGAAAGAAAATAAGATAGGGCCCGTATTATCGTGTGCTGTGGGCAACGAAGTAAAATTGGAAATAAATCAGGGTTCTTGGTGGCGACGAGGAGCTTTTCATCGACACGATCTTGTAGCATGTGATCTCGACCAAATCTGTCTCGGCTGCGTCAATGCTATCGCCACGGGATAACGTGGCTGTACAGTAGCGATGAGCCAGACTGACCAAGACCCAATCCACGGAAGTCCAGAAATGCGCGATGCTTTGGTAAGAAACGTGATCGGCAGGCCTCTCCGAGTCACTCGCAGGGCAACACCCTGCGAGTGAGCGTCGAGGGATATGCAACTGCATAGATCAGCGGGAGAAAAATGAAATACCCATCGTCCATCCCCTTGCTGTTCGCCAGGCGCTACATATGCATGCGGAGGCTGGCGGCCCACAAGACTGCACCCACAGGACGGATGACTGAGCGAGTTAATAGATATCGCCAGCGTCTCCGTTCAGTGGGAGATCTCCTGGCCCGTAAATACGAAACCTTGTCCTCCAAGACGGTATCCCTTCCCTGCCCACAATCCGGGTTGGACTCTTGGCTGTTTCTTAGGTGCGTATGTAATCGGGATCTCCCTCCCATCTACTTTGGTCATTATCTACTAGGGCGTGTAATCACTGACAGCATGTTCTTGTTGAATCCAGGCTCATAACCCCCACTGCCAATAGATAGATAAGCCCCCCTCCGAATCCCGGATTCTGCCTTTTGTCCTCGTCACCTTCTTCTTCGGTTACTGTCACTTCCAACAACCCCATGGCTCCCGTTCAGCCCATTGCTATAATTGGCACGGGCTGTCGCTTTCCTGGCTCGGCCTCTTCTCCCTCTCGACTTTGGGAGCTTCTCCGGGAACCGCGCGATGTTGCATCGAAACCACCGGCCGACCGTTTCAATCCGGATGCATTCTACCAAGCTGGAAAGCCGCGACCGGGAGTGACCAATGCCCCAGAATCATACTTCCTCGATGAAGATGTCCGGGCATTTGATGCCGCATTCTTCAATATCTCGTCGATGGAGGCGGCGTCAATGGATCCCCAGCAGCGTTTACTCCTGGAGGTGGTGTACGAGTCACTTGAAAGAGCCGGACTGCCATTGCAGCGACTCCAGGGGTCATCCACGGGGGTATATTGTGGATCCATGAATCACGACTATGCTGAGCTGGTCTATGCCGACCTGGATGCCTTCCCCACATTTGGGGTAACAGGAACATCGAACTCAATGTTAGCCACCCGCGTCTCCTACTTCTTTGACTGGCAAGGGCCATCAATAGTCCTCGACACAGCTTGCTCCTCGAGCTTGACCGCTGTGCATTTGGCCGTGGACGCCCTGAGAAAAGAGGATTGCACGCTGGCAGTCGCTACCGGCAGCTTTCTGATATTATCACCAGACACCTACGTTCGCGGATCCCAGTTGCACATGCTGTCAAGCAAGGGCCGCTGCCACATGTGGGATGAAGCGGCCGATGGCTATGCCCGCGGAGAAGGTGTCGCTTCCATAATTTTAAAGCGCCTCAGTGATGCTCTGCGTGACGGTGACGACATTCAGGGCGTGATTCGGGCCACGGGAACTAATTGTGATGGTTCCAGCCAGTCCTTGACCATGCCCAACGCGGAGGCGCAGAGCAATCTGATTCGATCTACATACGCCCGCGCGGGTCTCAACCCGCTCCTCCAGGAAGATCGTTGTCAGTATTTTGAGGCCCACGGAACGGGGACTGTCGCGGGAGATTGGAATGAGGCGGCGGGAATCCACAATGCCCTTTTTAACCAAGACTCGCCAGCGGACGAGATCATCCATGTCGGCTCGGTCAAAACCGTGCTCGGACATAGCGAGGCCTGCGCTGGACTCTCCGGCCTTCTTAAGGCCCTACTGGCCGTCCAGCACGGAGTAATTCCCCCGAACCTCCTGCTCAACAAAATCAGCCCCCAAGTCGCTCCCTATACCTCCCACCTCCGAGTGCCGACGAAGCTGATTCCCTGGCCTGATCTCCCAGCCGGGACTCCGCGGCGTGCGTCAGTCAGCTCATTTGGATTCGGGGGTGCTAACGCCCACGTTATTCTGGAGAGCTTCAGTGGATCAGATAGTCCACCTACATCCAGCGAGACTGCAGTAGCAGAGGTTCTGCCATTTGTGTTCTCCGCCATGTCGGAAAAATCACTCAAGGAGGTGCTGCAGCAATACGTTGATGTGTTGGAGGAACACCCGGCCGTCGACTTGCTAGATTTAGCCTTCTCTCTCCTCACGCGGCGATCGGCACTAAGCCATCGCATCATCCTCACCGCAGACTCTGTATATTCTCTGAAGGAGAAGTTGGAAGAAGAGCTAGACAAACGTACCGCACCGAACGCATCGTCTACAATTACGACTCGCGTGAGTCGGGGACCGAAGAGAATTCTCGGTATCTTCACGGGTCAGGGAGCACAGTGGGCACAGATGGGCCTCGACCTCATCTCCCAATGTCCCCAAGCAAGGGCCTGGCTACAAGAGCTGCAAGACTCCCTGGACGGTCTCCCAACTTCATACCGGCCTACGTTCACCCTCCTGGACGAGCTAGCCGCCCCCGAATCCAACTCTCGCCTCAGCTCCGCCGCAGTTTCTCTGCCTCTCCGAACCGCCCTCCAGATCATCCAAATCAATATCTTGCAGTCTCTTGGAGTGGAATTTGCAGCGGTGGTTGGACACTCGTCCGGCGAAATTGCCGCAGCTTACGCGGCTGGATGGCTGACTGCGTCGGACGCCATCCGAATTGCCTATCTACGCGGTGTTTCTGCAAAGCACGCAGGCTCCAAAGGACAACCAGGCAGCATGCTAGCGGTTAACATCTCCTGGGAGCAAGCGGAGGCGATTTGCAGTGAGGACCCCTACAAAGGGAGCGTCGTGGTGGCCGCCTCCAATTCCCCGACCAATGTGACCTTGTCGGGAGATAGTGAGATGATCTCCGAGCTCGAATGGCTCTTTGAAAGCCTTGATCATTCCCCGCGCCGGTTGCATGTCGACACAGCCTACCACTCTCATCATATGATTCCCTGCATCGAGCCCTATCTACAGGCCATGACAGCCTGTCAGACTGGAGCCCGTCAGGGCTCGCGAAAAGCGAAGTGGTTCTCCAGCGTCCAGAACGGGAATGTAATGACAGAGCTCGACAACGAATACTGGTGCAAGAATATGCTGCAATCCGTCCGTTTCTCAGAGGCAATGGCGGCAGCCTTAGAAAGCGAGCCCGATCTCGACGCCTTCGTGGAGATCGGACCGCATCCTGCTCTCCGGGGCCCGTCCCTGCAGACCCTGTCAACTCTGAAGCCCAAAGCCACCGATATGCCCTACATTCCACTGGCCATGCGCGGGTTCGGTGGCGTCGAATCACTTGCTCTAGCCGTGGGCTTATTCTGGGCGCATCTGGGAGCGGCGTCGATCAACATCCCATCCTTCGTTGGGCTTTTTTGCCCGTCTCGACAGCCGAAATACCTGTCCTGGCTTCCAACGTACCCCTTTGACCATAGTCACACGTTCTGGGCTGTGCCGCGTCTATCAACGGCCCGAATCTCTCGTCGCTTGCCCAGACATCCGCTGCTTGGTGGGATTAGTCCCGAGACGGGCGAGGGAGAGTGGCGATGGCGGAACTTCCTACGAGTAGATGACCTTCCCTGGGTAGAGTGCCACCAGGCGCAGTCCCAGATAATTCTTCCCGCCACAGCGTACCTAGTCATGGCTCTTGAAGCGGCCCATCTCATCGCAGATGGTCGGGTGCTGCAATTGGTGGAGATCACGGACCTGGCCATTAGTCGGGCCTTACCTATTCCCGACGACGCAGCCGGCATCGAAATTATGTTCACTGCCTACCAGACGAACGGCAGCAACGACAGCAATCTGATCATTTCATTCACTTGTCAAGCCACTTTCAAAGGAACATTGCGGCGCTGCGCATCTGGCCGCATTGCGGTAACATTTGGCAAACAGGACGCGACGCTGCTTCCACGCATGGGTCCAACTGCTCCCGGGCTGCGAGCCATCGATTCGGAGCAGTTTTATACACAGCTGGATATGCTTGGCTTAGGCTACTCGGGCCCCTTCCGGGGCCTCACTGAACTCCATCGCCGCAAGGACATAGCTTACGGAACCATTGCCGCCTCCCATTGGGGCAATGACCCTTTACTAGTCCATCCCGCGATGCTAGATATGAGTCTTCAGGCTTTGATGGTGGCTATGGGTTCCCCCGGTGACGGCCAGGTGTCCAGCCTTTATCTCCCCATCAGGCTGGAACGTGTGACGGTCAACCCAGCCTTTTGTAAAACTGGTGCCCTGCACGCTTCTGACGGGCACCTCACCGTCGAAGCCAAACTGACCAAGATTGCGAAGACTGGAGTCTCCGGTGACATCGATGTTTTCGATGCCGAGGGTCGGGGCTTCGTCCAGGTTGAGGGAATGCAGCTCTCTCAGCTCGCGCAGCCCACTGGGGACGACTGTCCTATCTTCGCGGGGGTGGTTTGGGGCCCATTGGCGCCGAAAGCTTCCTCTACTAATTTTCCAACTACTCGCTTTGGCCCCTTAGCGGATCGCATCGCGCTCCTCTACCTGCGGGACACGCAAATCCATCTGACCAGCAAAGACCGTCAACATTTGGACTGGCACCGGGGTCTGTACGTAGCCTGGATGGATCGAGTTCTGGCCGCCATTCGCGACGGCACTCATCAACGTTACTCCGCCGACTGTCTGGAGGGCGATATTGCCTCTGTTCTCACTCCTGCAGCCGAGGAGGTCCATCCAGTCGAGTTGCGCACTCTGGAAACGACCGCTAAACATCTGATCGGCTGGCTACGAGGTCAGTCCCTTCTCGCGGAAGAGCTGGGTCGGGATAATCTTCTCTCCCGCGTGTGTCAGGAAGCCCACAACTTCGGCACGTTGACGCAGCACTTGGCGACTTTGGTAGGGCAACTAGCATTCCGGTACCCGCGCATGAAAATTCTCGAAGTCGGGGCCGGCAGAAGCTCGGCGACACAGATGGTGCTAGACCACCTCGGACGGGACTATCACTCGTACACGTACACTGACCTTTCGGAAGATTCCTTCGACAAGGCGCGGGAGAGATTTGTCACTCATAATGACCGTTTCTTCTACCGCGAGTTAGACATAGAGCGAGATCCGATTGAACAGGGCTTTTCCGAGCATGAATACGACCTTGTGATTGCAAGCAATGTCCTGTGTGGGACCCACTCGTTGAAGCAAACCCTGGCCCATGTGAGACGGTTGCTGAAGCCGGGGGGTCGGGTTGCCGTCTCCGAGGCCACGGATCCTGAGAACGTTGCCGCGTCGTTTATCTTGGGCGGATCCGAGGAATGGTGGTTGGGTGAATCAGGTGGTCGGCTGTGGGGACCTCAGGTCTCCCGAAAGAGCTGGAATGAGGCGCTGCACGCCTCGGGTTTCGGTGGTTTCGAGGCAATCTCCCCGACGGAAGAAGAGTCGAAGCTCCTCGGATTGTCCGTCTTTATTTCCCGGGCCGTTGACGAGCGTGTCCAGCGATTGATAGAGCCCTTCTCAGTCCCTGCCAACGGCCAATTTCGCGACCTCGTTCTCCTTGGCGGAGCGACGACAGCCACTGCGAAGCTGTTGTCAGCAGTCCGAGATCTCGTGGGCCCATTCTTCCGTCGCATCACGGCCGCCAAACGCCTTGAAGACTGCGTTCCTCCACCCGATGCCTCGCTGGCGGTCGTCTTGGCTGCATCTGATATCGATAGCCCCTGTCTGAAGGGTCTCACCGCAGATCGTCTTCATGGCCTGCAAAACATGATTAGTGTCACAGGACGGCTGTTGTGGCTGGCCACCGGGAGGCTGGATGAGAACCTATACCTCCGGATGAGCAAGGGGCTTCTACGCTCTCTGGCCTTCGAGAACCCCCATGCTGGGCTGCAGCACCTCACTATTAGTGATCCAGGGGAGGTATCGCCGGATCTCGTCGCAAGCGTACTCATGCGACTGGTTCATGCCGAAGTGGGTGGTGATCACCGACTCTCCCGCTGCATGGAAAGCACTGAATGGGAACTGATGCTAGAGGACGGGATCCTGAAGATTCCGCGCATGCATAGTAACACCGACATGAACCAGCGATGGCTGGCGAGTCGTGGGATTTCCAAGAGTAGGTCTGTCGATCCTGAACAAAGCTGCGTGGAGGTTTGCACGGGTGACAACACATTGACTTTCTCTCCGTCCTTCGCAGAGAGGCAGCCGGATATGAATGGCCTCAGATACTGCAAGGAGATGGTTCGTATCCGGGTTCAATATGCTACTCTTCCCGCCGTGCGAATCGACAGCGGTTTTCTTCATCTAGTCCTTGGGGTAAACGAGGCAACCGGCACCCGGGTTTTGGCTCTGTCGGCCTCTCACGCCTCGGTGGTTTCCACCTACGCGTCATGGTGCTTGGGTGTTCCCAGCTGGACGGCAGACAGAGAAGATTCTGTCTTCTTGGACGATGTGTGCGCAGCTCTCGTTGCCCAGCATCTGGTCCGCCACGCGCCTGCCGGTTCTACGCTCCTTCTACATGGAGCCTCCCAGTCTTTGCGAGAAGCTGTATCTGCTGTTGCGTCCCGAAGCAGTGTCCAGGTATGCACCATCACAACCGACGGGAAAGACGGCAAAGATCCAGCTACACTGGCTATCCCACCTCGGAGCCCGTCACACACGATCTCCCGCCTTCTACCAGCCAATGTATCGCTATTGGCCACATTCGCCCCCGATACGGACCGTACCATCTCTAAGATACAGCCGTGTCTGCCACCGGGGTCGACCTCCTGCGGGCTGAAGGATTTCTACGGCACCACTTCGTTCCCACCTGCGGCCGCACATCATTCCGTGGCAGATTCTCTCACCAAAGCCTGTCTGTTCCCGCAAGATCACAAGAGTCCCCGCTCTGTTACTGAGAAAATATCTCCCCAAGATGTACCCGGACTTTCTCTCGGCCGTCAGAAACTGAAAATTGTCGATTGGATGCATTCGGGGCCTGTTGAAGCCGATCCCCTTCCGGCTAGCTCTCTTGTGGGTTTGAGCGCCGATAAGACCTATCTGCTTGTCGGGATGACAGGCGATGTAGGCCAGTCGGTGTGCCAATGGATGATCGCCCGAGGAGCTCGATCGGTGGTGCTCACAAGTCGATCCCCGAAGGTCGATCCGCGGTGGCTGGGAGAGATGTCAGGGCTTGGTGCACGTGTTGTTGTCATGGCTATGTAAGTAGCAATGATCCCTCTGTAGTGTTTCCGCAAATTCTCGACAACTGACCGACTGACTTAGGGACGTGGCGGACCGTGCCTCGGTGCTCCGAGTTCATGAACGCATTCAATTGGAGCTACCTTCTGTCGGGGGAATTCTGAATGGAGCAATGGTTTTACGGGATGGGCCATTCGCCAATCTGTCGTTAGAAGACGTCCTCCAAGTCTTTGCCCCAAAAATCGAAGGCAGTCTGATTTTGGACGAGCTGTACCGGGACACGGATCTGGATTTCTTCCTTTTGATGGGCTCCATGTCCGGTCCTGTGGGCAACTTCCACCAGTCGGCCTACGCAGCCGCCACGGAGTTCATGGCTGCCCTTGTGCACCAGCGACGCCTGCGCGGCCAAGTTGGGAGTATCATTCATCCGGCCCAAATCCGTGGCGTCGGATACCTCGCCAACATGGACCCGCAGCTAACTGGGGCTCTCACGGACCGTATGGGTCCGCTAATTCTGTCCGAGCGCGACCTACTCGAGTTGGTAGCCGAAGGCATTCTTGCCGGCCGGCTGGACTCTGGGCAACCAGTGGAGATCGTTGGTGGATACCGGATGACAGATCCAGCGGAGTACCCCAACGTGCAGTGGTACAGCAATCCGATGCAGTGGCCTTTCATCCAGCATTTCCCTCAGTCTGAGGCCGCGGGGCCAAAGAACAAGGAGGTTCCCATGAAGACGCAGCTGCTGGCTGCTGACAGCCTGAATGCGGCCGCGGAGATAATTGCCCACGGGTTCAGCGAGAAGTTGCGTCAGAGGCTGCAGTTGCCCAGTGATGCCATGCTTCTTGGCACGACTTTGGTGATGGAGCTTGGGGTCGACTCGCTCGTCGCCGTGGATCTGCGAAGCTGGTTTCTGAAGGAACTTGGTGTGGATATGCCGGTTCTGCAGCTGCTTGGAGGCTCATCGATTAATGATTTGGCCTCCAACGCTGCTGACAAACTGGAACCCATTGCTGTGCCTTTGGTGAAGGCTGAGCAATTGCCGAATTAGGAAACAGTGGGTATTCCTAAGGGCTTTCATCCCTCAGCCCCAGATACAGTGCCATAGTTAGTACAAACAACATATTATAGGTATTTCTGTATAAGATTACCGTATTATGGTTTCGGGCTATACCCTCGCGTAACTTAGCCCGATCGTCGGAAAGTGTCCACACCCAGTAGCTGCAGGCGACTTTCTTGACCCACACGGTCTTTTTCGCCCTATCGAATGAGATTATAAAAGCAGGAGTTGCATGTGTTGTTGCCCAGCCGATGCCTGTGTCCTGCAAGGAGGATTCAGCTTTTGGTTCCAGTAATTGCTGATGGGACTTCCCTCAATTCTGCCCCTATAAACGCTCAGCCTGCTATGAGATCCTGAACACCCCCCCCCCTGAACTCTTGTCTCCACGAGGCAATATCAATTTACCATGGCCTCTTTCCCTACCTCTCACGATGTCCTCTCATTTGCTCTGGATGCTCAAGCCGACTATGACCCTTCCGAGGCACTCATTATCGACGCCCATGAGCCAAGCCGCGTCCTCAATGGTGCTCAGCTACGACTGCTCATCCACACCTTCATCGCCGGATTTAAGGCGCATGGGATTAAACAGGGTGATTGCGTCTTGGTCAATTTGCGGAATAATGTGCGTTTCCCCCCCAGTGTTGTCACTTGTCATTTCACCAGATCTCACCTCGCTCACTCCAATATCCCGCAGGTTCTATACACCGCCATCTTCCTCGCCATCACTGGCGCTGGTGGTGTCTACATCGGCGCCAGCCCGCACAGCGTCCCCCATGAGCTAGATCATGTTGTTCGACTGGGCCGTCCTGTCCTCATTCTCACCGAGCCAGATGCTCTTCCTACCACACTCAGTGTCTCCAAGAAGAACGGCATCTCGCCCCACCAACTCTTCCTTCTCGACGAAGCAGCCCTCAACGCAACTATTGCCTTCGCACAGTCGCACAAGCAATGTTCTCCAGCCTCGGCATTGACTGACAATTCAACTACATCGGCAGAAACATGCCCCTTCCTCTCCCTCCTCGCTCACGGCTCCGCAAACCCCCTCTGCATCCCAGAGCTCGAAACCGCCAACTCCACCCCAGCAGCTCTCTACTCAACCAGCGGCACAACGGGACTCCCCAAAGCTGCCGTCTTCTCGCACGGCGCCCTGATCGCTGGCCATATCTCCGCGGCGGCCAACCCCCCACCCTACAAAGTCCGGCGGCTGGTCTGCCTCCCCTTCTATCATCTCTTCGCGTCCTTCTGGTCGCACCTCTTCCCCCTGCGCTACGGGAGCCCGCTGTATATTGCGCGCGAGTTCCAGCTCCCCATCTTCCTGGACATGATCCGACAACACGGCATCAGCGACACGCATGTCGTACCCGCAATAGTGCACTCCGTGAACCAGGCGCCCGCCTCACTGGACCCCAGATCCGCGCTCACCTCGCTCCGCTACGTAGGCGTGTCCGGGGCCCCCATTGACCGCGCCTGCATGGCGGATTTCCAGACCCTGCTGCACTCCGATGCCTGTGCGGGCCAGATCTGGGGTATGACGGAGACGGGGCCAGTGTTTCAAAACCGGTACCCCGCTCGCGGGTGTAGAGCGGAGCAAGCTGATCTGGGTGGTATTGGGCCAATTTTGCCGGGATGGGAGGCTAAGCTTCTGACTTATGTGGAGGCCGGTTCGGGCGAGAATGAGGATCAGCAACCGGCGCAGCAGCAGCCGGTCGAAGTAGTCGATGCCGCGGGACCACCGGGTCGGTTGTACGTGCGCGGCGCCGGTTTGTTCAGTGGGTATTTGGGGCGTAGTGAGGCGGCGGTGGACGAGCAGGGGGGTGGTTCAGCACGGGAGATGTGGCATATGTCAACAAACGCGGCGAGTACTTCATTGTTGGCCGGACGAAGGAGTTGATCAAAGTGCGCGGGTAAGTCGTCCACTCCACCCTATATCCACGATTATGTAGCATGTTCTTTTCTGATGGGGGATAAAACAAAGAGCCTCGGTGTCGCCCGCCGAAATCGAAGCCGTTCTCCTCAAGCACCCGCTTATTGCGGATGCCGCGGTGACGGGGATCAAGCTTCCGGGGGGGACTGAAGAGGCGCCTCGTGCGTATGTGGTGCGTTCTGGGGACGCATCGGGGAAGCTCACTGTGAATGAGGTGTACGAGTTTGCGCAGCAGCGGCTGGCATCGTACAAGTCGTTAGATGGAGGGGTTTGCTTCGTGGAGAGTATTCCCCGAACAGTGAGCGGGAAGGTGCAGAGAGGCAAGTTGGCGGGCATGAATGAACGGAGAGATGCCCTGGAAGGATTATTGAAGAAAATGAAGGGTGGAGGCTGAGCCTGAATTCATTGCGAGTATCTAGTTTTGCTATCTATTCGGTTCTTTTTCTAAGGTGGAATGCTAATGTGAAAGTCTCCCTCATCAATATACATTTTTATGTCTAACCATATGTGCTTAGGAACAGGAGGCCAATCCTTTCATCCCTCCCACCTTAATCATTTTACCCCTGTGCTTAACCTGAAAACGCCGCTGAACCCTAGGGTCGAGGAACAAGCCAAGCGTTCCTGTCAGATTACTGCTTTGATTCTTGCGGAATAATTCCTGTTCAGTCACATCGTGCATGCGCGTTGTTGTCGGCCTCTAGAATGTTTTACAACATAACCCCTACCTCTCTAATTATATATAACTACTTGTCCCCGTACTCTACACTTCCTCTACCTATGTCGCAGCTCAATCTAGGACAGGATATCTTCATATAACAAATGAATCTATTCCCACTATCTAGGTAGTTCTTCAACGAGAATATCAAACATTGAGAGGAGAGGAATTAGTTGCGGGGAACCAGCAGATCCATGACTCAAGGCGACTGTTGGAAGCATGAAGTCTGGGATTCGGGGTACGGAGGCACCCCCGAACTAGGCTAAATACTGTCAAATAATATGGGCGTTGGTGAACCAGAATCATATGACTAGATCGGGGTAAAACCCCCGCGGAGCACACAACAAAATAATCAATCAAGAATAACCAAGAAAAATAATCAAGAAGCGCCCAACCAGCTCAATTCATTCAAATAAGACCTTTTTACCAATCATACTCTATCTACTCTTCGGGACTAGCGGTATATCTGACAAATACATACAGATGCTAAGACAGTGCAGACCGGCACCCGGAACTAAGGGACAACGCGATGTTCAAGTAGTGACAAGGTCATCACAATCTATACGGTGCTATACCTACCTGTACCTACACCTAATATATATATACACATTACTATATATCTACAGTATGAAGCTCCTTTTATTATATATCCCCCTCGTGCTGGTCTCCCCTTGTCAAATCTGTGCCCTCCCCACCGACAATTTCACACTCCAGGTGACTAATAACCGTCAAATATCCGGTTAGTCTCGAATAGGAAAGAGGCAACTATTTGTAAAAAGGCCTTCAGCATGCAGTTCTTGAACTGATCGATTTATTTGATTCAGTTCTTAATTGCAGTCATTATTCTTCTTATTAATATGTCGGTTGCGTGTGCTCAGAACCTTTGACCCCTCCTTTGTCGCATGATCCTGGCCACGTTCAACTCTATTTGACAAGTCTCCACAAACCATTCCTGACTGTGGCAAGTAGAAGCTTTCACCAAGCACTAATGGATGGTATGTTCTTTTGAATCTATTACTCTATTTGTCGGGATGAGTAGCGTTCGTAATACCCCTTTTTGGGATCATATAATTCAAATAGCCCAGGTAAAGTGCTGTATACGGATGATACAAGGCAGTACTTTGTAACAAGGTTCCATATCCCGATATGTACGAAGCGATTCTTAGTTATATTATCATCAATCACCAGACTATTCAAAAAGTTGTTTGTCCAGCCACAAAGAAAGCAGGGTCTGTCCATAGCAGATGCACTTTATCGCGTTCCGCCCCATCTACAACCTGGCCTATTGCTTGGCGATATGCTCCAACAGATCGAGGGCCAATGGGCCAAATGGGCCAACAGGGCCAAAAGGGACAGTAGGGACAGTAGGGACAGTAGGGACAATAGGGACAGTAGGGACAATAGGGACATTGGCCTGAGAGGTCAAACGGACTCTAGCCCTTTACAGTTGACCCGGGACGGATCCACCGAGTTAGTGGTGGGAATTATATCGAGCCAGCGAAGGTACTGAAAAATATCCAATTTTCGGGTCTTCTTTCGACTCTGCCTTCTGTAGGAAGCTACATTGCAATAGACTAGCCGAAAATCACATCTAACGGCGCAAAAAATATCGCCCAAAAAGCATCGGACTTGCAGTTTTTTGCACAATAAACATTAAGCGATTAGGCAACAAGCCTGGGCAGCTATAGAATGGACACCCTTCAACGGTAAAAGAAACCCAAAACATCAAACCACATTCAATCTGAGCCATAGACTGACCTAATTATCTGCCGGGTAGTGGGATCCATGAAAGCCAAATCCAATTGCTGAATCACACTCCGCACGCCCAACCTCTTTCATATCTCGCGCGTTGAGGCAAAGAAGGTAGCTTGTACCTTTATCCCCATCCAGGACAACACTGAGAAGGTATCCAGCATCCTCCTCCTCGTTTGTGCCATCGGGAATGAAAATCGCTTCTCCCGGAGTATGCCGCTCGTGGCACCAGAGCTGATAATCTCGCGTTTCGAGATCAACTTTGGCGATGCCTTCAAAAAATGAGGACTAAGGAAGACACATTGTCAGCTCTAGCCTAATTTATGAACATATCTTTGCCAAAAAGAGCACCTTCCCCTGATTCACGAGATTGTAAACATATCGCGTTTTCTTGGTGTTGAACTTTGGGTTGATGGTGGGGAGGTCCCCGACGCAGTTGTCGTCGATCCTCAGCAGAGTTTCTGCCTCCGGAAAATCTGTGCCGTTAGCTGGTGCCTCGCGGTGGCCCTTTTTGGGGACACCGGGTAGACGATAGCGGACGAGGCTGGGCCGGGAGGCTTCGCTGCCATAGTACTTGGTCACTTCCGAACCCGTCGAGACCATGGTGTCATAATATCCCCGCTGGATCATCTCATCGGTGGGATATTGGATGATATCACACATGACATCTATAGTACCATCACCGTTGTCCTTCTGCCATGCGTTGATCGTATGGAAGCTGAAGAAGGCAGGGCTCAAGTACATGGCTACAACCCCTCTACCCTGTTTCCGGTCAACCACATACCACCGCGCTTGCAGACTGGGATTGAACTGAATGGCATCGGCCAAGTTTCTTTTCCAAAGAATCTGAATGCCATTCATACGAATGATGGCGGGCCAAATACAGAGGATCACGTAATCCTCACTGAGAAAGAAGGAGTGAAGATACGCGGGCTTGACGTCGGGACCCCTGATGGTTGCGATAATCTTCGTGGCACCGGTCGCTGCACAGGTCCGGAATATTCGATAAGTTGCGTACCTCCCTAGGTCTAGGTTGTAATTGTACATGTCCCCCGATGCCGCGTCAAACTCGGCATGAGCGCACGAAAGCGGACCCTTAAGATCGGGGTGCAGACTGTCCTGGCGTGTGACTCCCAAAGGCTGCAAAGTCTCGGGGTCGATCTATGGGGGTTCCGCTGAATTAGATTGGCTGTCTTTCGTGCACATTATGGTCTCAGATAGTAATAGCCTTACGTGTTTCAGTATATTGGCATCTGTTAGTGACGTCAGGCTGCTAAATGGCGAGGAGGATCTGGACTGTTTCAAGTGACGAGGCACACCGGGGGCCTACTGCTCTATCAGCATATCCTGGTATACCTATCACTGGGAACATACATTGGCATAGATGGTGACACCGGCATTGACAAGCTCTGAGTTTTTTTGATTAAATGCGGGTCTAAAGAACACTTTTACCTTCCGGAAGATGCTCTCGCATGGATCCCGTTTCTGGCCAAATGTGAGACCCTTCAGTGTCCCCGACTTGCGTGCTTCCTCGATCAATGCATCGACCTGTCCGCGCGAATTGTAGAGCACCTTGCATTTTCCTGTCGGTTGCGCCACCAGCTGGAATCGATGCAAATACGAGAACCCATCGAACCAGTGACTGAGTTGGTACGCGCTGCCCTCAACCTTGTACGTCCCTGGGCCGATTCGGTACAGCGTACCAGCCAGGTACGAGGGGATTGACCCGGTGACTGTTAATTCAACGGGCTCTCGATGCTCGACTGACGCTTCAAACTGTTCCGTGGCGCAGTGCTCAGCGATTACTGAATTTTCAGAGGGGTTCCTGCTATCAGATACTAATACCTACGCCTGCATCATTTGGCCAATCGTTAAATGGAGCCTTGCAACTCTCGATTTGAGCCATTTGGTCGTTAACAACCGAACAGAGGGCTTCTCCCAAATCATTGGGAAAGGAAAGGATTTGAATGTGGCCAAAAAATTCCAGGCTTGCGACGATTTTATTTGACCCCCTCCTACAGAGAGACCTTGATTGACTAGGCTTTTGGACACAAAGACCCTAAAGACGTCGCTACAAGCCACCCCCTCAACCAACCCCGCAGCCAGTTTCTAGACCTGCATTTACTCCATTCCGATTGGATCGGCCACTTTATATCTCCGTCGTCTGTGCTCCTACATATGTCATCGGATAAGGCAGCATGATTATTCATACCTAAGGCCAGGAATCCTGACAGCTGCTGGACGCTCGATGTCGTTCAAGCAGACTGATCCAGGTTTGCTGCAACGCCTGGACTGGGCCTGGGGGCTTTCTGGGATGGCGGGGCCATTATATTGATTGTTCCGATTGGATTGGCACTCTGGCGCGTGGATGTATTATTTGTCATCAGTGAGTGACTTGGAATCTGGGGTCGAATGATCTGGCTAGTGCCCCTATACTGGCTTGTGCCCTGGAGTGGGCGGCCATTCTCGCTCTGGTCACACCGTCCATGTCGAACCCAACCAGTTAAGACTGTCCAAGGTTATACCTCACCGAACACGGATGGAACAAACCGTCCCCTCTTCGAGCATCAGCCACCTTGCCCTACCAGTACCTGGGCTAGCATTATTTATTACATAACTCTAAGGCCATCTTTCAATCTTTCGGATGTGGAGCCCAATTTTCAACACCACACTGTTAGATTTCTGGTCATCTCCAATATCATAATTTGGAGAGATATCGATTCTTATCACGAATTCATGGCCGCCTAGTAGTTCCGTTGATTGATCAGTGTTCCGGTCAAAACAACTGTCCATCGTATGGGACACATAACTGAACAGTTCTATCCCTGGAAGCCTCCGGTAGATGAGGAGAGTTGGTGCCTGGATTTGGGGTATGATGGGTATGATGGGCATGTAGATAAAATGTTCAATTTCTATGTGTGGGTTGGAAAGTAGGCAATCACTTCCGTACCTTGCCAATTTAGTGTAGTTCTACCTAACGCAGCATAATCTGGCTGTCACATAGTTGTATTGAGCATGACTATTGTGGGTCGTCTGAGACAGTAAGGCCTGGTTATACAGTAGGGTCTAGCGCTAATGCAGCGATACTGCAGTCAGGAAGAAAGATGAATACAATATCAAGACAGGACCTCTGACATAACTGAATCAGCTAACTATGTGATTGTCCATCTTCTTTACACAGCTGGAAATTGAAAATAAAATAAAAATAAGTTGAAATCATAAAGTAGTACATAGGGTATTTCATGGCTATTTCCTTCCTGTCACTGATCATTAGAAGATATTACTAGGATAATTAGCAGTCCAAGTAGGGTCTTGTGAGATATACCACTTCACCACAAATAGTAGCGCTGTTACAGTTTGTACGTAGTACCGGTATATCTGCCTATTCTGACAAGGTCTCTTCGGATTGGACTCAATTACTCGTTACAACCGATCCCAACGCCTGGAACCAGCACACCGTATCTCCCTACATAATAGGTCCACTTAGCCATCCCGCTAGATCGCGATGGTCAGACCCGCTTGGAAAATTGGTGGATTTTTGCTTGTTGGACCAACACTGTAGATGTTTGGGGCGCGGGAATGGCGCCCCGGCAAATCCAACTGATGAGGGGCAATTGCCTAAATAAGCTTGTCAAACCATCAAGCCAGTAACCTGATCAGCTGAAAGATCAGAGCGTACGAGCTGCTCCGGGAATACATGAGTATAAGTGACCGATCCCGTCCAGAATCATTGGCCGATACGGGATGGATTACTAGCGTTAGCTAGAAGCCGCTTAACAGGGGCAGCGGCCGTGGATACGCCATTCAATGGAATCGCTAGGTAGTGGGCCGTGTTCTCAGCCCGCATCGTCGAATTATTTGGGTCGGTCACCATATCCCTGCATGATATAGTGAGTCATCTGTTAAATTAGTGAACTAAGCACGTAGCCACTTATTTCGTTACATGATATAGTACATGACTACCTAAGTGGTTTTGCTGTCCTTGCGCTTGCGGGGGGTTCTTGCCCGAGTCCTGCCCGTACGCCGAGGTGGGCGCATATAAGTTTGCTGGGCAGCCTTGTCGGGTGCTCAGGCCCCCCAGTGGTACCAGCGGAGCAACGCCGCCATAGGGTCAAATGGTGGGGAGCTTCCCAGCCCTAGCCCAGTGCCCTCAACCCGTTCTCATCCTAGTACGGTCTGCCTGCAAACCAAATAAACATCACGTCACTGCTTTGAGCTGAACGCGATGTCTAAGGTGAGGTCATCACATAAGTCAGCTAGGTTAGAATATACCAAGGAAATATGGCTGGGATGATACATTGATCAGTTGAGAAAGGGTTGCGCTAATGGGAATGGTGGTAAGCCGGGCCCAGTGAGTTGATTAATCCATTTAAGTGCTCTTTCGGCTCCTGGTTGTTGAGAAGTCGTTGATTTTCGTACTGGTTGTCTCGAGAGGCCTGTATACCGCGGTGATGCCTTGACCACATTTACCGGCTAAGCCGTAATTTTTGGCAAATTTCGAGTAACTGACTTTTTCCCTGGTTTCAAGGATTCTCTATTTGCAATTGCTTTTCAGCTGAGTCTATACTAATGGTATTGTGGTTTATTAAAATCTATCTAATAAGTCGGCGTGTAGATATAAATAGGGCGGCAGACGAAAGTGGGCGTCAGGTAACCTGGGTACGATATAAATATGTTCTTTGATCACATCCGTGGAATATGTCTGCTTCTACAATTTTAAAACGAGGGACGGGCCGAATTCAGGGGTCGATCAATTCTTGGTATGGCTTTACTGTAATGAGTGGGTCAGATTTAGTTGGGAGTCCAATCATTCATCATTCAATTATTCCCTGGAGTAGTTACTCTGTAGACAGGACTGCATGAATAGTCTCAGGCCAACCGAATCTGGTTGGACACGAACTCCCCCCTCCTGGCATCCTCGAAATGCTCCAACTTTGCCTCCGACACCTCATTACGCGCCATCTGCCACACGGCATGCCAGATCCCCTTTGCCTGCACTGTGTATTCCTTTCCACTGACCAATCTTCCACTTGGTAAGTTCACCACGGTCTCGACCGACTGTCCCGCCGGGATCTCCACGAGCTCGTCCGACGACGGGGGTAATGGTCGTGATATCTTGATCGTGTCCAGCGGAACTGCATCGTTGGTGGTCGTGTCACGCACTTCGAATACCCCGAGGACGGCCGCTCGGGGGTCCAAGGGAGTGTTCCAGTTGATTATGGTGACGGGGACCGCAGCGCCGTTGTGGATGGAGACGTTGATGGGAATAGCCCGCTGCGAAAAGGCTTGCACCGGCGGGGACAGCGCTACTGCCAGAGGGGTCGTCAAGGATGCTGAAGTCGCCATGGAGAACGATGTAACTAGTCTGCATAGACCAGTGAGGAGAAATCGATGCAGAGGGGAAACGAAGTGTTTCGATGATAAGTGGGAGAACCAGAGGTTGTTAATATAAAATCGAGCACCCGGCAGCCTCTGGCGCCAGAGATCAAGAAAACGACAGTCGAGATGCGCGTGCCATCGCAGCGGGGAATTTGAAGACGTCTGTTTGGTGGACGGTCCTGAGTGGCGCTCTTGGCTTGCATTCTGCAGGCGTATCAACGTCGGCAGGTTAATTTAATTAATTGCCTTTAGATTGCTTCCTTGCCCGCAATAGATAGATAGGAGATAATCTCACAATCCAGAATGTACAATATTTACCCTCATGGTGGTACTAGCACAATCTGACATCATTCATCCACACCTTAGCTCTTCTCGTCTTCACTTCGCACTGAGCGAGATGCCCAATCAATGCCTTTACGTACCCCTGTAGAATGACTTTGCCAAATTCCTTCGATGCTCACTTCTAACAGAACAAATCCCTGGACTGCTGGCTCGTCCAGACCTATATTGTGCTAGTATTTGTATGAGGAGCTTTCTGTAGCATTGTTTGATGTCTTAATTTCTCCCCGCCTCTTTCTTTCCATCTTTGTTTTTGGAGTCGTGCTTCAGCTGTGAAGTTTAGTTATGGTAGTGAGTAAAGCTTTATACATGCCTATTACTCAGTGGCCAGTTGATATAAGCATAGCAAATAATGGAAAACAAATGCGTTGTGCCAAGACTTCTTGCCAGCTTTCAATTCACTCAGAGCTTTCCTATTCTAAATCTCGGGCCTTTGATCCACTTCAAACGCTCGCGTTCTTTTTCCAGATATTCGGTGTAATGTGCATTTGCTACATTCAGCTGTACAGAGTCTAAGGCAGGCCAACCTTCGGCATACGTTACGCATATTTTCAATTCTCCAAAGCCGCATGAGCTCACTACACTTTGCCTTAATGTGAGCCTGCAGCCAATCTTGGGAGTTGCTCCCGAGTATATACTTACACGGTTTGCATGGACATTCTTTCAACATATAAGCTTATTTCCACAGTCGGGCTTACCACGCCGCCTTGTGCTGCATGACTCCCTCGCGGGATCAACCGAGGCTGGAAGGGAAGTCGGACCGTCCGTGAAGACTTGCCGTGCTGGGCAGTGCCGTTTGATGCTTCTTCGGAGCAAGTCTCGAAGGTCGAGCCCGAGGAAACAGAAACCAGATGACTCCGACGACGATGGACCACTGCCAAGAGGAAGGACTAGGCGGTGTCCTAATGATAGTTGGCAGCATCGCTTGTGTCATCGCTTGGATCAAACACAACCTATGGACCATAGAATTAAGTATCGCTGGGGGATCAAAGCTGGGATTTGGATTTATCTGAAATTGATGTGCATAACGATGGCGGCTCTTTGAGATGACCTTGTGAACGATTAGGAAGGTTAATTGGTAGTGATGCTTTTCCTGGTGCCAACTTCAATTCAGAATCTGCTAACACTCAAAGCAGAGTATGAGTCGTACAATTCTTAAACTTTACGTTTCGGTGGCTGAAAGACGGATTTTCGGTGTTGTATATTTATTTTGGATAGTCGTAGAACATTTACTTCTGCAGGAAAGGATAATTACGAGTTCGTCACATCCATAGACCTCTAATTGTTAACTCTCGATCACTATCTCAGCCAGCCGGGGCTAGGATGTGCATGATTCCAATAGATCCCCATCGCAAGGCACGAAAGCATTGGAAGATAATCCCCGCAGACTTAGGTCTCAAGTGACTATGTCCAATTCAACTTTATAGTCATAGTGGAGATTCTCTGTAAGGACCAGCAGTGAGCTGGAAGGCTACTCGGGTAGTTTCTGTTTCCAGTCAGTGGAACATGGGTGTGCTGAGATGCTGCAGCATCTAGAATTCGTACCAGCTGAATGAGACCGACATAATATCTTACATTCACTTTCAGAGGAATCCTTTCTAATGCATAGCTCTAATTAGGCTTCAAAAGTACTATATGGCAGGCTATCGGCGTTAAGCAAAACAACGGACCCACACCAGTCGGCGATATTAGAGCTTCCCAGTTAGGTTATAGTCCCATTATGCCGTAAATAGAAATCATGGTTCATGGCAAATGCCTATCATCCTGCATAGGCTGTAGGGTAGTGCAGATGCGAAGCAGGATATTTTCAATTCTACGGGATGCTAATACGTCAGAAATCATTCATTCGATACGCATCTGAAGAAGCTGAGGTTAGTCATTCTAAAGGCTACGAAAGCCCTGTTGTGAATGCTGGCCACGGCTTAACAGCCTAGAAAGAGACGTCTGCTACACATAGAACAATAGGACAATTCAGTGTCGTAGTTGTTACCAAACCAGGTTTTGTTTATTTTTTTTCTATGACAAATTCTATAGTTTGTATAATTTAGCACTTACCCACGCAAGGAAACTAATGAATTGAAAACTATTGGGTTTACCTTTAGTGGCCAGCATTCGTACAGTTTCCCTTGGGAGGTCATGGCCTGCTTTAAACACAGACTCTAGCGAATCAAGCCGAAACCACAGATAGGATACCTGGTGGGGTATGACTCCACTAATATCTACCGCATTTGGCTTCCAAGATTTATAAAGTAATTCGAGCATGCGGTGTTATCTTTAATGAAGAAGAATTTTTCTCTGGGGACCTAAATGCGACAATAGCTGCTGTGCATGATGAATTTCAACAAGTTTCCATAGAGAAGTTTAACCAGATGATTAGAGATATTGAAGTTCAGAACTTGCGTCCACGGATGCTAGAACAGGAGGAAAAGAGTTAGTTATACAAGGTATTTCGACTCGAAGGACTACTTAGTTGAAACAACGCAGTTAGCTTTAGATCAAGCAGATCAAGGTCAAAAGATTCAGCAAGATACCCTCTATAGAACCATGTTAAATAGTTCCTAGTCAATTTCGTACTTGATGTTCCATTTAGAAGATACTTATACAGAATATTGCGAACCGACCGGAAAAAAAAATTATTAGTAAAGTTAATTAGCGACTGTAAGGCAGCCGGTTGATTCCCCGGACCTTTAATGCCAGTAAAATGGGGTATAACACTGTAATATTAATTATACTACGCACATGCTTGATATGACCCACTAATTACGGTATATGAGACATAACTAGTTATTACAAACAGGTGATTAGTCACCACCTGGGTATAGTTCCCACTGCAGTTCTGCAGCTAAACGAGAGCGGACGAGCTGAAAACATTGCGTCCAATGTGGCTGGCTGAATATAAACAACCAGTGAGTGAATGTGCCATGCATGACCATTTTTCTGTTCTCATCTACGTGCGTTAGTCCGCTGCGGCATATCCAGCAGATGCACTAACTATGGGCGTACTGATAATGAATATCACTGCTCCTGACTAGAGAAAAGTTGGCTAGCGGCTCAATGCACTCTTGTTCTTTGGATAAATACCTGCTATGCCATATTTCTGTTCCGAGACTAAAGTAATTAAGTCAGGGTTGAACTGCGAACTCTGTTTAGAAACCAAGCATAAATAACAATAATCACGGGGAGTGTCTTCATGTACGCTGAAAGTCATTACCGAATGCGTATACAATGCTGACGTCATATTCAATCGGCTGAGCCTGGGCGTTCGTGCCTGGACGAGCAGAAGAAATGCGGAGATGCAGAATATAGGCCAATTATTTCGAGCCAGGACTACTAGTCTGAGTTCGTACGAAAAGAAAATTGTTCTCCGGATCCTGTGGATTCTAGGAAAGTGATTGCGGTTGCATCTTCAGCCAGCAACAGTGAATACGTTCCCCCTACTGGCTGGTTTCGAGCAGCCTGATCGCCCCCTGCTCTAAAGTGAGGTAGGTGGCGCTATTCTGAAATTACGCAACCTGTCAATGTATGTCAAAAAATTATATAAAGGGACAACTGTCTCCCAAGGAACAGTAAGTCAAGTCATCAAAATCATCTTTATAAAATCCAGATACTTTGAGTTTCTCTCTCGTCAAGGTGAGAATACTACCCTGTCAGCAATCTACAGATATTTATACCCTTTCATCAGATGGTGTATCAGGTTTATCTCAACTGGGAGGGAAACCAGTATAATGGTCGCGAGATTCTCGTATTCCCTAATAGACAATATGCGGACGAATTCTACAACCGGTGTATCACGACCAGAACTACAACTAATCCGCTCGACGATATAGTGAGACACACTCCTCAATTCTGGTCTTTCTTCATGAGCGCCGAATCACGCCCTTACTACTTCATTGACAGCAATGCAAAAGACCTTATTCCGACTACCATGGTTGCTAGGATCAGTGGATACGATAACAATCATGCCACCGGTGCCATGCCCATCATCCACAATGACCCTACAGCTAACGTGGAATATCGATCCGGAGGTTCTTATTATATCCGCACGAAGTCCACTCCCCATTTGTACTGGTTTCTCAAAGATACAAATATTTATCTTGATACCAGAAAAGCTACTAAGTTTCAAATATACCGAGATGACTCTGAACGAAATAGGCAGTCAGATGATCGTCGAGTGCTTGAAAGGAAGGATCTTGTCCAATTGTCCGCTCTTAACGCAAGTGGAAGTCAGGACGTTGGCGTGAGTAATCAGATTGTGACTACTGCACAGTCACCCTTCCAGTTCAGTTTCGGTTGTTTTTACAATGGAAATTTCGGGGTTGACTGGAGTAGTGAAGGCAATGACCCGTATCTTGTTTATCGAGCCAGCTATGCTGGCGAAGAGTGGGAACTCGTGAACTAGGGTTGGACCAGGGCCCAGCATTCACTTCCTTTGACTTACGTGATGAGATTTTTGGGTTGCTTTTGGTCGCCTATTTATGTCCAAGCCACTTAGCGAGCCAATGAAACAGTTAGATCTAGAAGTATATTCTTAAGAACCTATAGATTGTAGCTTTTATCAAAGATGCTGATACACCAGAAGGGATCGGCTGTGACAATATATCACCATCATAATTAACGAATATAAAAGTTATAAATCATATTCTGGGAACGAACAATCTTTTTAAAAACAATTACCTCTCATGAACAGGTACTTTATGGATGGATGTCTTTGTGGGAAAATATTGAAAGTATCAGCTTCCAGTACCAGTAGTAATATATGACAAAGATATTCTTCGCCAGTCTCTTCCAAACTCCTACCGAACCATCTTACTGCTACCTACGCTTGGGAAGTAATGGAAGCGGTGGTAGCAGACCGGATTATCTAGCGGACCAGTTTAAGTTCTTCCTATTGAAGTATACTGGTTAGAATATAGTTATATATATATATATATGAGCGTGTGAGCGTATACATATAGTTATGTTAATTGCCCAGAACAAGGTTTATTGGTAATAGACATCATTACTCAAAAATCCTTTGCCTTTACACCTTCCAGCTACTCCGGATAAAGAACATAGTAAGGGTCCCGATTCTCTACCCACCCACAAGCTGGATCGCTAATCTTACACATGATAATTTCCTGGATGAGTTGATCATACTTCTTAGCTGCATCTTATATGACAGCCAGGAACTGATTCTCCTCCCACCTGAGATATCCGCGGACCATAAAAGTCAAATATACTAGACGATGCTCCCCAGTGGTACTGTTATATCCGCCTCCATGATAGACGGATGCCAAGAAAATATGGGCATCTCCTTTTTCCAGTCCCGCAGCGACGCAGAGTGTGGTATCTGAACGTGTTTCGCAATTTGTAGACCTTTATGGAACCACTGTTTGGCGATTTAATTTCTAAATGTCTTCAGTTCTATACAAGTTTGTGCACTCAACATAGATGACTACTCGGAATGAATTGTGTTCCCCCATTTTCCCGGGGAACTTTAATCCCGCAACCATCATGCTGATAGCTGTCTCGCGGCTATTGTCCCGCCCATGATCCCATACATTTATTTCAGTCAGAATATTATGATTGATGACCGAGTCACGATGCAACGGCTGTGCTTTCCACCGGGACTGATCTAATCGCTACACAAGCCTGAAAATAGGGCCTGGAGGCGGATTCATCCCGTTTCTCTCCCCACTAAAACCAGTTTCGTGTCGTGAGAAAATACTCACAGATAGCCTGTAACAATGGGTTCATAAGTTGAGTTTTGGTCACTATAGTGGTGCATGTGCCGAGTGCTTAGTGAGTAATCCTGGATCGATGAGGTTCCATGTCGCTCGCGCCCAGGTGGGTCTGAAGAGAGAAGTAAATAAACATCAGTAACACCAGCAAGTCCATAGTTCTTAGGCATTAGCAAGTTAATTATCTAGATAGACAAGGTGTCATATCCAGCGCATAGAAAATACAGCTTTATAGTATACATTATAACAATACTTGTGTTACTCTTGTATGTGGATTTGGATTTAATCCACCAGCCCAATACGCTTAGCGAGCAGGTCAATATGAGATTACCACTGCCCTTGAATCTGGTGGCTCTTTTCGAATATAATTAAGAATTAATACTATTAAGTAATGGATCTAGTAATTGAAAATATTATTTCTCCCTCCTTTGCTATCTGCACAGGACAAACACCCAAATACTGAGTGCGCTGACCCCATTTGGAGGGGGGCAATTATCGGTGGATGGCCCAAATAAAAAAAAATGGTGGGGAATCCTTATATTAGTTTTGTCCTACAGATATTTTATATTGATCCGCTTAGATTGCTATGTAGAATCAAACTGCTAAATAGGTACGAGTGTCAAATCGCTTGCTCAGTCGTGACAAGACGTACCTATACGAATTATGTGTCAAATCAACAACAGTTTACCTAATTGAGCCGCGATTTGCAAGAAATGGTATCCTAATAACTATTCTATAGTTGAACCATGCAGTGCCGTCGTAATCATTGATAAATATTGAATTACCGATACTTGTGACTAGATATGATTCAGAACTCAGTTGGAGAGCAGGATTCACCCCTTGCAAGTACATAGTTATATCACTCTATGCTGTGGTGGGTCTGCGGAAACCCCTGAGGCTGAGACCGGCGAGAATATTTACCTAGCATTAAGGAATCCGTACAGTACATACATTCCAGCTTTATAATATAATCTTTCCGGTACCATAGAGGAGACGGTTCTTCGCAAGATAATAAAGATATCAAGGTCAATCCCAGAAGATATAGCCAGTCACTTCCTATTTATGTTGCTGAGGCCAGTACTTCATTTCCACCAAAGCGGTAAGGAGGTGAGACAATACCAACGGCCACAGACATTCCTAGCCCTCTCCCAGAATCTGGATTAGTTTTGCACATGCGCTAAAGGGCTATTAAGTTTGAACATCTGGTGAGGGTTGTCGTCTGTCTTATCTGGTTCTCTCTCAAATTGAAGTTTCGCACGGTGCTCAAACACCAGGCAAAAAGCCGACCCACCCATGTGGAACATACCAAGCTCATGTCCTTTGGTTACATGCTGGCCCATTTTGACAGTAACTTCACAGCTTGATATTTCATTCATCCCGATTGCTATGAAACATACAAGGCCGATATCCTTATTATCTGCTTCAATAAAGATTAAAGCTCGCGTCGCTACCGAGGACAAATAGTTCTGGGAGAGATTTGGGCCAGATGGATCTGGACTTGGATAGAGATTTGATCGAACGTTCGAGTAGTATGTTCCCGGGACTTGTACAATCTTTGTTACTGTTCCCGAGATAGGAGCATGCCAGCGGTGGTAGCATGCCGAGCTGAGCCAGCCTTGATAGACAGTACCGTTAAAAAACTTGTAGCTGTTGGAATCGAAGTTCAGCATATTCAGCATTGAATGCGGCTGAGCTTTAAGCCAGAATGTATCGCGATCGTTAACCCTCAAACTTAAGTTCTGGTATCCAGCCTCGCAGGGGTTCACGATAAGTTTTTCATTGTCCCTGTCGTCTTTACTTAGGGCGCGGACATCCTCACGAAAGCTGCGTGTAAAAAAGGCATCCCAGCTATTGAAACCCCAGGTGGACAAATGTGGGTTGCAGTCGTAGAGATCTTCAATATTTTTTCCAATCCATTGCCCATACTCCTTCATTCTCTGTTGGTAACCATCACTGAACCAGTATTTGCCCTCCTCATCATGGGGTATGTCCGACGCAAGGTATTTTGTAGAGTCCGGTCCGCTTAGGAACTCACCCCACTTGTTGATCATATTTTTCAATTTTCCATTGACCTCCGGGTTTAAAAAAAATGCGTAGCCGCTGGTCGTGGCCGCTGGCCAGTTAAAAACAGCATTAAACGGGACGGTAATGGCACTAATATCTGCCCCAGACGTCCTCACATATGGTGGAGAGGTCAGGATAGCGTTGCAGACCTTTAATGCGTCATTGAAATTTTTGGCTTCAAACGTTACGTCTCCTTCCACTATAGGTATTTCCTGAAACATTTTTTCAGAAAGGACTTTTAGAGCAGGGTCCTCATCCACAAGCTTCTTGAAGTCTTTGATAACGTCGTGGAAAGGCGTCGGGTTGCGTTCCGCTTCTCGAAGTTGTTCACGAACATAGGTTAGGGCGGCCCTGTTTGAGGGCCAGTCCCCAAGTGGGGGAGGTGGCCAGTTTATGGGAGTATACTGGGACATTTTTGTACCTTATGAGTTCGAGTTATGGGGGAATAAAGCAAAGTTGATTCGACTAAGACAACCAAAAGAGACCGTAGAATGATTCCGATAGCAAGGCACCGGGGCCTTTCTGAGGGTGGTTCTTAGTTCTTAAATGCTTTTCCATCAGTTTGCCTCCTAATAATACAGTGCAGTAGTCTGAGTGTTACAATAAATGTATGGATGTAGATGAGGCAAATTGATCCGTTCAATAGAAAGTCTCCATCACAGACTTGTGTCTGAAAATGCAACCGGATTGACTGGAGTGCCGACATACAGTCTGTGTAACGAATAGACTGTTTCGCATTACCCCGACTACTTGCAGTCGATGAAGGAAATATGACGTTTTGGTTATCTTCTTGGCTGGCTAGTGCTGCATGTTGCAGCCTCAGCTGAACCTTCATAATCACAGCCTCAGCTGAACATTCGTATTAGAAACTTTCTGATTTACAGATCTACTGCAGCCATTTTCAACAGATTTGATATCGACTGCATTTTGTAATTTTTACAATGTATAACAACATATAGTTACAATGCTATGTGCTAAGAAAAAGTAATTTAAATACAGGCTGATGGCTGCAGAACTAGTTGGAATGGCTGGCTCCACAATGATTTTGTTTAATATGCAGGCCGGAGACATTGTAGCCAGCCACAAATGCTAGCGTATATAACTCCAATACCTAATGTAACCCCCTGCATAAGCAGGCATCATACTCAATGAAAGTGGTCGTCTGTAAATTATCATCACTGTAGTTAGTAATATGTTACTACGGCATGCAGCTTGTTTATTTCGAAGCGCCTTTCACCTATTGCATGAACATTGGGATATAAAATACTTCCAACTCCCTCTCAACAGTCACCATGTTAGAGTCTACCTAATTGTGGCATTTTGTCATACGGTATTTGTCGCCAGCAAGAAGCGAAAGAAGACAATAAGAACACCCTTATCAGCTGAAAAATGCAATTTTTCAACTTCCCTTTCGTAATATTTTCATTGGCATGGGTAACACTTGTTACAGCGAAAACAGTAAGAGTTCCTGGATTTCCTACATCTGCTACGTTGATAATAACTCGTTCTCACAAAATTTATAGGCTGCTCTACATTCTATGGATGACTGCAAAGGGGCCTCCGCAGATGTTCCATGGTTTAAATGCACCCCAAAGTATGTCCATCTTCTCGGATTCTATAGCGCGCCGCAGTTCTAATGGAATCCATAGCATGCCCAATACAACAATCAGCGTTCCACAAGCAGATGCATACGTGCAATTCTTCTGTTATGGGTACAGGTAGGCATTAATAGTCACCATGCAGCTGGAGATCACTAAATCTCCGAAGGAGTGATGATGAGAAATGCGTGGAAACGAAAGACACGATTCTGCCTGGATGCAATGATCTGATATACGAACGTAGCAAATGCACCTACTGGCCTAAATCAGTCAATGTCAGTTTATAAAGCATGCGAGGATTGGACGTCTTGCCATTTTAGTTCTGATTCGGTTTTTAGGCTGCTATATATCGCCAACCCAATTTCGATGGAGCTCCATACAAACTTAAAACAGGTGCTGCGTTTTGCACTACGTTGACATTTATGAAGTATGTTAACCAGGTCAGTTCTCGGAATAAATAGGCTAACATATACCAGCAGGAGCATAGATGGGTCTATTGTGGTTCCAGCGAACAATAATTGCACATTTTTTACGTATGTTACTGATAATATCTGCTATCGTAGAAACTGTCTAACGCTGGTTTAGCAATGAGAATTGTACAGGGTCTACAATTTACTCAGTGAAGTCCCCTGGCTCGGCTAACTTTTTCATATCACCGGATGTTAAAAGTGTCCAGTGTGTTACGGAAACACTATAATCCGCCCGACTTTGCGGTGACGATCGATTCAACCCCTGAATCCTTTAGATAGTTGAACACCTCAATGAGAATATAGGGAACCGCTTAGTAGGCTCAGTTGGTTGAGATACTGCGATTCCTGGTGTTTCCACTGAATGACATCTACTTCCTAATTAGGCTAGTTGGCCTGTAGCTGATAGAATAGCTCCCTGCGCATCACTTCACCTGAATTTCACAACATTGGTTATGAGCCCGGGTTTGCAGCGTCTTCTTAACAACTAGGTCTTTGCACCCTGGGAGCTTATATAGGCTTACAACCCCTATCTAAGCACGCAGGTGAAGCTATTCATCAACGTGTGTATCCTCAACGTCCAGGACAGTGGCTAGGACCATCAACCTACCTACCAGTCGGAGTTGGGTAATATTACCACGCCTCTTAGGCCGAACGGAACGATCGAGAAGGACAATCAGAGATCGATAGATGTCAGAGAGGGCTCGGGATCCCCGGACAGGACGATTTATATCAAGCCGGGAGAACACTGAGGGACCAAGACCGACCGAGCGCCGCATCGAGTGAGGATCCCGTGGCGATCTCACTACCAGGTGAATTCTTAGAAGAGAGGAACCTGAAGAGTCTGAGCAGAGTCTAGAATAGAAGCTAGCAGGGAAGCTGAGCGAGGGAATTCTAGTGAGCAGGAACAGACTGAGCAAGGATCTTGGATTGAAGCCAGCAGGGAAACTGAGCGAGGGAATCCTGGTGGATCCGAAGAATATAGGATTGAAGTTAGCACGGCAGCTGAACGAGGGAATCCTAGTAGTCAACTGCATACGGAATTAGCAGTTAGAATGGCAACAGACATACCAAGGCCTAAAGACGCAAAAAGTAGTCAAATTAGTGTCATTTGACCTACCGAATCTTACCAAAGAGAACGTCCGAACATGGAATTCAAAGGTGCAGCGATTCTGCAAGATCCAAGGATGTTGGACGGTGGTGGAAGAGACTCAGAAACGGCTAGATAAGCCTGAGGAGTTAGAGCGACTGCTTGAGAATAAGACATGGGCTTCCCAAGATGCACTTGCGCAGCGTTATATCACTGAAAACATTCAGCAAAGTGATATGACCACGGTTCGAGACTATAGGAGCTCAGGAGAGATATGGACTTACCTTATGGAGAAATATGAGAAGGCACCAAGTAGAGCATGTACTTCTGCAAGGATAACCGCATGGAGAAAGGATCCTAAGGTGGATCTGAGGCGTCACTGCAGGAACTGGAGCAATGGAATGCAGATCTATATGAGATAAGCAAAAGAAACATAAATTTGAGAAGAGATGGTTTTAAGATGTTTCTAAATGGATTACCTCAGGAATATGGATTTATCCGGGATCTCTAGTTGCAAACGCAACCATGGAGAGAAGATTAGTCCTATCCCGGTTACAGCAAAAGAACAGGAGCTATCCACCAATAACGAAGAAATATTGGACGAGTCTGCGAACAGGGTTTAAAAAGGGAAAATGCTTTAATTACGGCAAGCCAGGACATTGGAGACACGAATGCAGAACTCCAAAGAAGGAACAAGATGGACGGGGTAGTCAGAAGGACCAAGATGCCTCAAGTAGCCGTGGAAAAGGGAAAGACCGCGGGCAGAAGGGCAAGAAGAAAAGTCCCAGAGAGCCAAGGCAAGGACCGCGGATAAGGAATCAGATATTAACAGTGATTCAAGTGGGAATAAAAGTAATTCCACAAAAGATTGTGCCCACCGAATATACGAAAGCGCAGTACAATTAAACGAGCGGATCAGCGACCAGTTTAAATATGTGCTTGAAGAAGCGTACTAGGCAAAGGGGAGCGAAGGCCCTATTATCGATAGTGGAGCAACGAGAACCTGCAGCGGAAAAATTGATCTATTTGAGTCATTGGATCAGAGATATATAGGCAGCTTAGGAACAGCTGGGAAATCCATAAAGGTTGCTGGCAGAGGGACAATGAAGATTCCACTAAGCAGTGGAAAACTGGCAAGGATTTCGAATGCATTGTACGTGCCTAGGATAAAGGAAAGCCTGCTTTGAACGCAAGCTTTATATGCAGACCGTATTTGGAACGAGCATACCGAGAAGGGATACGGATTCTTCCGCAAGCGAGGCACAGAGAATATTCTTGCAACTGGATACAATATTGGCCGGACAAGCTACCTAGGATGGGTAGAAAGCAAGAATGTATTAGCCACAGATGCAGAAGAACTCGGAGAGGGAGAATCTGCAAGATTGGTAAAGCAGGTAGATTGGGAACTAATCCACCAACGACTTGGCCACCCAGGAAAGACAAGATTCAAAAACATGGTGAAGAAAATGGGCCTTACTGCTGAAAAAGTAGCTGTAGAACGCTTAAGAACCTACGAGACATGTATACAGGTAAAGAGTGCAAAGAAGCAGAACCATGAAGTTCCGAGAGCTTCTAGACCGCTGAAACGAGTTTATATGGACTTTTGGGGGCCATATAGTAAAACTAAATGCAATGAGGGATGGAGATACTACCTTTCACTAACTGATGACCACACACGGTGTTTGTCGCTTGGATTGGTGAGGACGCGGGATAATCTGGACGCTGCAAAGGCTATGTCTGGTCGTGTGGTGACTGCTGCGTACATTAAGGAACAGTTCTTCTGATATCTCTGAATACTTTGGCGTGTGGCTTGTCCGGTGTAAATAAGAAGCTCATCTCTTGTTGTATTTCTATGGCCAGAGATTGCACGTGCATCAGTCTACCTTTCCAATCGAACGCCTCAGTACCAAACCAATTTGGAAAACGCCTTTTGATCGATTCCATACCTACGTTGCGCACCAAGATGGCATGGTAATCCATGACAGAAAGCCTTAGCAAGCGCATCTAAAAGTATATGGATCCAAGGCTTTCGCCATGACCACAGAAGCACCAAATAAGTCAAACTGGAAACAGAGATTTAACCCAAGAGCGCATATTGGATATCTAGCTGGATGAGATTCCACTAATATCTGCCGAATCTGAATTCCACGCCTAAACTGAGTCATCCGTACAAGAGATGTAATATTTAATGAAGATGAGCGATGAGCAATTCTCTGGGGATCTGTCTGAACTAGCAATATGCAGGATCAATTCCGGCAGATATCCATCCAAGCCTTCAACCCGATGATCAAGAATATTGAGCTTCCGGGAGAGTCTATGTCGCCACCAAGCCAACAAGAGAATCAAGTAGTGGGATATTTTGATTCATCAGACTTCCTGCTAGGTAAGGCCCAATCAGCTATGGAATTGAGTGAAGAATCAGTTCAGAAAGACGTTGAAGATTTAATCTATCCAACACCACCGGAGACGCCAGAATATCTTCAACCAGCTTCGCTATTAGCTATTGGTTCCCCAGCCAGATCTGATCAAGAATCATCTCACTTAGCCGCATGGAAAGCATCGTTTTTGGCTGCACCATTAATTCAACCGAACTGACCCGGAGAGAGAACCACCAAGGCACAATTAGAACGATTACTTCGACGACCTGGAAAGAACATGCACCGCAGAGATTTGCCACCCGAGCCGGTCTACCACAGAAATCTTATTAATCACCCACTTGGCGAGCAGTTCAAGTAGGCCGAAAAGGATTATCCTAAGGGACATGAGGATGTGTACATGGCACGAAATAAGCTGGTATAATCATAAAGACAAAGGCAGGCAAGTCCTGGATTGGAAATAGTTTCTGTCCACTTTATCCGAATGAGTACGAGGAATCCGGTTGCGCGGCAGAAAGATGGATGGGACCATGAAGTTAGACACAATCTGCCGAAGCTTGCTTTTGGCAGCGGCAACTTTACTGATGAAATCAGGCAGGGGAGTTGCGATAAGTTGGCTCCCGATGCTATCCGTTTGGTGAGACGCTTGATCGTCTGTTCCAGAAGAATTGAGCAACTGGGGTATGTTGCCCCCGGCCGGTACAACCACCTCAGCTACATCTTCCAGAGCGCCCAGGAAGCACTGCCGGATATAGGCCTCAACCTCCCCAAGCTCTAACCGCTGGCTGCGTACTTTGACCTGCCGATCCTTCCACTCAAATATGCTGAGAGTACCATCTGCATTGACCCGCACCAGGTCGCGTGTCTTGTACAGCCGAGTGCTGGAGTGTTTTCGCAGGGTACAGAGCCAGGCAGGGGGCTGAATGAAGACTCCCGCTGTCTTTTGGAATTATTGATATATACACGTCCCACAATTGGATCTTCAATGACCAACTCCCCGATAGAGCTATTCGAACCAGTCCATTGGAATCCTGCGTGTCCACCACCCAAGCAACCGATGCCACTGGAAATCCAACGTTTTGCGGGTCGCTATCTAGCCGGATAGAGGGTTGGACGAGCGATAATGCGGAACACTCACCTAGCCCATAACCGTTCGTCAGACGCAGATGTTGGGCCCAGTAATACACACCGTTCTCGAGCACGCATTCGCCAGCTAGCGGCCGGCTCGTACTGGTGCTCAAATCTTCATGCCAGAATAAGCGAGCCACAGATGGGACGAGCATTTCATGATTGGCCCGAAGGGCAGAGGCGGCTTCGCCAAGGTTGTCCTTGCGCTGATTATCCGAGACCACACAGATGCAACTGCCGACCATGAGCACACTTAGCTGTTCCAGAACACCTATGTCAAATGCATATGAAGAGAATTGCAGGACTCGTGATTGACTAGTCAGGTTATAGGCGCGTATATGATCAAAAGCGCCGGAGCAGTAGAAGCGATGCTTAATGACAACGCTCTTCGGCATTCCAGTGCACCCGGATGTGAATACAACATATAATATGTTGTTTGGCTGTGCTTTGGACATTACAGTGGCAGTTAATGGCTCCGAGAGCTGCCACGTGTTACAGCTTTCACCTATAATCACTGCTTTCGCTGCCAGCCCCATGCTTGTTGCAGAGTGTGCTGACGATGAGACTATCAGTTGGCAGTTTACACCATCTCAGAGATCCTTGAGACGCTAGAAAGGGTATGAGATATCCAAAAGAAGAACCCCCCCCCCCCCCCCCCGGGCGGCGGAGGGCGGGGTTTTATTATGCCCAACATGTAGGCGTCCAGAACGGATTTTCAATATATATGGGAACCACAACATAGGGACCAACTCCTTGTACGGCCAGATGCTGCCCGAGAGACGAGGACAGCTCATCCAATTCGTGGTATGTGAACTCCCCCTCCCATGCACAGACGTCAGGGGCATCAGGGCACTTGATGTACCGCTGACAGATAATATTATGCACGCATGGTTCGACTGTCGGGGGCAACAATTCATTTCGGGCCTAGATGATTGCCATGTCATGGTAGCTAAAACCATCATTTATTGGAGCTTGAATATTCGCCATTAGGGACAGAATTGCCTTCTCAAAAGTTACAATAACTGTCAAGGCTTGAACGTAACAAATGGCGCCTTTGAACCTCAGTATATAGACTCATCGGCTCTCCTTAGAGAAGATGCTACAGGTCAACTGTCTACCCAGCTAAGGACAAGAATCTGCACATAGAGACTGTTGTTAAATAGCAAAGGCATACGCTAACCTGCCCGATCTGTCTCCCACAAGCCACTCCGCTGGCCCAGTTCGATAGACATGTATGTATCATCATCCGTCAGATATGCTTTCTATCGTCAGGGGCAGAGTGTTATACGGCGAGGTTAGATGTGCGACCAGAGCAGCTGTCGCTAATAAGAGGAGTTATTCTTGTTCCATTATTCGGACAAGTAATTGAGGCGCACGTTGGCGCTTGGTTGTCTTGCGTGTATAGCTCTTGGAGACGGCGCAAGTTCTAATATCCAAAGATGGCTTTGTTGGCGAATTCTTATCGAATTATAGTGCGCCCCGTAGAGGAAGAAAATCCCGCTAATATGGAGTTTTGCAGATCTGTCATCCCACCGCAGCTAAAAAGCAATGTCTCATCCAAGAAATGTTTCAACCTGCCTACAATAGTATAGTAGTACCGGGTGCATCCGTCGATAACCTGTTCCGTCGATTCCCTGTTCCGTCGATTCCCTGTTCCGTCGATGTAAGAACTAGGTCCCTTCCGTGTGGATTTTGAAGTGTTCAGCCGAGGATTTGTCGATTGCTGTCGTAAATCTCTTTCACTTATCTTCTACACTTAATGGAATACAAGTGCTTCGGTAAAGCATATTCGTTGGAAATAATGACGCCCTTGTAACTGTCGTTGGGAGAGCGGTGAGAGCCCACATCCAGCGTAGACATAGATGACGAAGGCTATGAATAATATAGGTCTCCAGGGGTACAGAATATTATACCTCTGTTAGCAGTTGATCTCCACTGGATGTGCGCAGAGTCTTTGTATCCCTATATCTGGTTCCAGCCAGATGCTCTAATTCACTTCCGGATTTGCTGAAAGGCCCACTACCTCCTTGCCGTCATTAGAATGTACCAGGGAGACACAGTCTGACGATGTCGGGTCTTATTAAGTTCACATTGTACTATATGTCAGCTTCAATTCTGGTTGCTACTAAAACAGGATCTCTGCTCATCACTATCTTTCATCTTGATCACAAGTTCCCACGAAATGACTCTACACAGTACCAGGATGGAGCGGCCGGCTGGCATTTACAAAGTATGTATGACGATTAATTTGCAGGTGGAATTTAATTAATTAGTTTGTACTGACGTAAGCTGTCAAAAGGCATTGGGCGTCAAGGCTTTTCCCTCGGTCGATCTCGTGCTTAGTTATTGCCCGCGACGCGGGATACGATGTCCTTTTCATTGACCTTGAACACAGCCAAATTTCTCTCGAATGCGCATCTCACATATGCAAAGTGGCAAAATTGGCCGGGTTGCTCCCGCTTGTTCGCATCCCCGATGAATCTGGGGATGGTTTTGTTCAGCGCGTCCTTGATGGAGGTGCCAAGGGAGTAATCTTCCCCCCCATATTTGTAATGCAGGTAACGGTTGCTCTCCTTCCCCAGAACCCATATAGCCACGAAAAGTAACTTAAGAGACAAAATTTACAGAGGATGCAAAAAAAGTCGTGCATTCAGTTAAATATCCCCCTAAGGGAACCCGTTCGATTACCCCCTCGCTTCTTCCGGGTGGCGGGCAGGGTTTGACTCCAGATAATATAGGGAAGCTTCTGGAGAAGGACGAAGCATTCGCAATTGCCATGATCGAGAATAAGGAAGCACTTGACAATATCGACGAGATCGCATCTGTTCCTGGATTGGATTTAATGCTGGTCGGGTCCATGGATATGACCGCTGACCTGGGTATCCTAGGGCAGTGGGACAACCCATTGTACCAGACTGTTCTGCAGGACGTCTCTGCCGCTGCTCAGAGAAATGGAAAGCTGTGGGGAATGTCGGGACTATTCGGCAGACCGGATAAATTTAAGGATCCAATTCAAAGACTTGGGGTAAACCTTGTTGTCGGCGCGATAGACCGAGGTCTCGTTTTGAATGGCGCCAAGGCAAATGTGGAAGTATTAAGACGCAGTGAAGCCAATTCAAACGACTAACAATTAATATTCGGAGTTCCATGAAAATAAAAACGTTGTTCGAATAGTTCAACTTCCTATCCGAGTGCCTGCATCCATATCTCATTTATATTTGACGCATAACGGGAGAGCTATAAACTTATATATCGATTGTGTTGTTAAAGAACGGTCCATCCTGTAATGATAGTCCACCTATTATAGGTGGAGGTCTGTGTAGCGTATGTTCTAATCTAGTGTGGAATAGTAACCAGGTAATAGTTTTTTTCCGCATCTCAGATATTTATCAAAGCAGGGCTTTAGGATAGAGTTCTGTCTGTGGCCCGGACAACCGTGTCGATGGCCCGGGCAACATAGCCAATATTGCCTGCATTCACTGTAAAAGTTAGTTATAGTAATTAAGACCTATCTCTTCTTCAATACATACGACCTGGTAACGATATCCTTCCCGAGCTCGTTATACTGATATGGAACTCTTTCTGCTAATCTAATACTTTAGCTTTGCAATCCCGCAGGCATTACATTCCACTATTGTTGGTCCACCTTTAATCCTTGTTCCTTTGGTTAAATTGACTAGATGGTCTAAGGTAAGATGTCCAGGATATCCAAGTTAAAGATGCCATGAATATGCGTCTGCTTGTACAGATCTTGGTGTAAAATAGAACGATAATTGAAAATAGTTTCGGCGATTAAAAAGGCTTGCTCTTGTTATACTAACCGGAAGGTATTTAACTACAAATTAGTTAAACCTGTCTCTGATTTGCACAATAGTTCAATTATCTTAATATCGGAAAATATTTTGCCCTGGTTAGTTATCCCACTATATTCCGGCTTTATGCAACTGGCGTGGAGACACCAAATTACAAGCCATCTTGGGACAGAAGGCAATATCTTGGAGATGCAGTATTAACCTCTTTCTACCTAATCTAACCTAAATATCCACATTGCCATATCCATGGATCTCCATATTTGAATCTCCGGCCCATATAAAATCACCCGGTTGTGCGGTTCAAAAGTCGTTAAATCGAGATATTTTATTAAAGATATGAATGGTGGGTCCTTAGTTAAAATTAGCTAATTCTTTAATGGATAGGTATCTAGTAATGCTATAAATAATGCTGGAATTCTTTCAACCTGCTGTTTAAGTAGTTAATCTTGATTCCCCAAGCTCTTCCACTCTTCAACCTTCTTGGTAAATTCCTTGTCTGTTTAAAGCAAATAATTAATAAATCTCCTAATTACAGCACATTCCTTATATCTCTTAGGACCCTCTCGAGGGAAAAGACAGAAAGAGACCTTTTATTCATGCTTATAGCCACATGTTTTGCAAGCTACCTTTATTTTTTTAGCTATATTACAGCTCTCGCGGCTATTGGCTTGTTGCTTGCGCTTCGGGATACAGCTCTGACCTTTTGGTGCGTGATTTAATTCCGTGCCTTAAGTCTTAGCTTTTTTAGCATTAAAGGTCGGACCAAATGACCCTTTAGCAATATTGCTGCTCTGTTGAATCAATTTGGTGTTAATCCATTTCGGAAGTCTTGTGCTACCTGTCTGAATGTCAGGGTATCTGATTTAATATCCTTACTCTTAGCAATCTCATATGAGGTTGTCTATACTGGGTTTAAAGGCTGTACAGCATTCAGGAAATCCTCAATTCACCCGTGGTTGTCGCCACCGCAATTCCAGCCCTTTCAGCCTTGCTTCTTCCTAATTATTTAACCAGGTAAGTACACTCCGAGGTCTAGTAACAGGTTTAATGGCCTTCTTATATGCTTCGCGGGCACTTTTCTTGACTATGGCATTATCTATTCCAACCCGTTGCTTAGTTTGGCGTACTATTCCTTTATCGAGTCCTCTGGATCACAGCAATATTCATAGATTTGTGCAGAAATAGCCTTCTGCATCCACTCCCGAAGCTTGCTCAGCTCAGTTTGTTGAAGAATAACGTTGAAGAATATAGACATCACGAAGGCTTATATAAAGAGTCCAGGCAAATTGTCGACCAGCCAAGGAGGTAGGATTTGTTGATCGTGTACTTCCAGCTGGTGGTGCCAAGGTTCTGTCGGTAGGTGGTGCTGGCTTGAAAATCTCTTGTTCCTCGCCGGTAATAATTCCCATAAATTCTTGCCCCTAGCTAAACCTTCAAACTTTGTGTTCTACTCCTTCCAATTCTCCTGTTTCAAAGGACGGTATTCTGCGTGGACATTTCGTTCGGAGGAAGAAAAGTTCAACCGGTGGATAGGTAAGCCGTATAAACCGCGTATGGGTAGTTATAAAGCGTATAAGACTCTTAATTGTCAAGATATTCGGCTAGTCCCGAAGAGGAAACAGAATACGATTGGTGAAAAGGTCGTATTTGATTGAATTGAGCTGGTTTGGCTCTTCTTGATTATATTCTTGATGATGATTATTTTGTTGTGTGCTCCGCGGGGGTCTTACCCCATCTAGTCATATGTTCTGGTCCAACCACTGCCGTATTGTTTGACAATACACCACATGGCTTCAAATGGTCGTGATAGTCACCGCTCTGATGCGATTTTTCTCACATCACTAAACTTGGTAAGCAATAACTTCGCAGGTTCGAATAGGATTTGCTAACCGGTGCCTCTGTGGTATTTAGACAACCATTGCAACAACTATTCCTCGAATCACCGATGAGTTCAGCAGTCTCTCCGGTGTAGCTTAGTATGGTCCGGTCTTTTGTAAGTGACTGCAAGCTTTGAAGCAGGATGTGCGTACAACTTCTTCTCAAACTTATGTCTGGTTACTTATAGCAAATGTAAAAGGGGGGAAACTCTATGGTCTTCTAGTCTCAAAAATTCATGCTGCGCACCGGTCGGGGACCACGTTCCGGAAAACCACAACCCGATAGGCCTTGCGACGAAGGAATTAAATGCTGAAGACGATAAGTAGGAGGCCCCAAAAAAACTCCGGTAAGATTTAACCCGGCACGAAAACGCAACAGGAGGTAGTAGAACAGATCGAAGCGGGGACGGGGTACTGCATCACAGGCCTCAGTGCACCTGCGAGTGATAGGATGGTGGGAGAAAACTTTGCTTTACGTTTTGGCTGTGGAATGTCGCAATTTATACTGATATGTTGAGTTTCCTTGTCATTTGCATTCTAGCAGGCATCTGCTGCTGTCTTCTTTTATGGGATTATATATGGCGTTTAGGACTTCAGGTTCCGCCTTCTTTAGGAAGCACCTGCACAAATAGACGCTTCAATAGTCGGGCTGCAACAGGCTAATAGAACTTTGAATTGAATTGAATTAAGTTATGACCTAGGATAGAAGATCCGTGGAGTATCACTCCTCTGGGAAAAGTTTCTGCTTCTTAATTTTTCTTTAATCTCTTAATAACAAATGTGAGAGCGTCTTTGAACCTAAGCTCTGCGCAAATTTTGTCCACATATATCTTCCAGAGGTTGACCTGGAGCTATTAGTAGCTTCTACTGCAGATACAGTTAGTTTGATGTGTGCTTCTTGTTATGTCGATACTGACGTATTTTCATCGATGCTGCTGCGCCCCCTTATCCACTAACATGCGGACGGAAAACGGCAACGCATAGATCCAGAGGGTCTCGCGGCCGTTGAAGGAGCCAAGACGGCGGGCTGATCTCTCAGTTTCTCTGTACCTGTAACTGTTTATTCAAGGCTCCACAACTTACAAGACTAGTATTGTTTCACATGGATATTTTGTCGGGAGCACCACTACAGCAACCTGTATTCATAAGGTAGGTGGAACTAGCGCAGACGGAAATGGTGTACTTCCCTGTTACTCACTGCTGCCACTGCGACTTTGACAGCCCCTTCTAGCTTGTCTGATATCTCAGCCGCTACCTCCGCCGCTACCTCTGTTGCGGAGAAGACTTCAAAGGAGTCCAGTCAGGACTCCTCCCCCAACCTCCCCATCACTACAGCAATCACCGCGAACGTTGGTGGTATGCCTGCAGCCATAGCATACACAAAGATGACTATAAGTGGTACTGTCATTACTCTGCTCATGACTGCCGTCTAGGATTAATATATCCTCTGAAATGATGAAACCCCCAGTTACTTACATGCGCATGGATTCCAGAAAAAGAGACAGGTAGATTCGCTGCACCCTGTGAATCATGGTCGATCAGCTCATTAGTAGCTTAATATGTAATAAAATACTTTACATATATATATATATATTTATATAAAAAAAAAGGGGGGGAATTGAACAATAATAACTAGCAGGATACTGTTATCTAAGCATGAAGGAAAAACTCATCCGGCACAGTACGGTCGCGCATCTCTCCCCATGAATCTGATAGGTCACTTTGTCCTAGGAAGAAAGGAAAAATCCCACCATCTGGCCCATCATCCGTGACTTGAGGCGTAGTATCGGAGAACAAGCCTAGGGAAGAAGGTGGTATGGATGCTGTGGGCGCGATTCTGTCACCCATCGATGGAGAAGTTATTGGTTGAGATTGTGGTAGACCGGCCGAGAGCGGAGACGCATTATCCTGGAGAAATTGCGCCAGTTTGTCGGAGAGTCGGAGGGTAGCAGTGGTGGTAGGCGGCAGGATCCCGCTGCTACTACCCCGTCCGCTGCTCCGGTTGCTGTTGTCTTCGACAGGTGGGAGACGGTGGAGGAAACACCCGTTAGCCATTACCGGTGCTGCTTGAAGACTGTCAAATGTCATGGAATCCTCCATCTCTGGGACCACCCAGGATGAGAGCGCGGATGTTTCAGGCTGGGGCAATTGGCCGGCATCTTCTAGGCTCTGAGGGGTCTTCCTTCGTTTCTGCACCGAGCTCTCCGATGGCGCGCTGCCAGGATGGGCCTGGGATACCAGAGGGGATGTCTCATGGGAGCGTTTAGGAGGTTGGGTTTGAGTGGATTCTGGTGACTGGGGCCGTAGGCCCTCAAAATATTTCTGAAAGATTTTGGCCACTTCCCTATACCACTGAACGCCCTCGTTCACTCGGAGTATACACGCCGTGGGTGTATTAGGGTTACATATAGCATCGAGAGCTTCAGCTACACTGTCAATCAAACCCAAGTCGTCTAGCGCTTCTGGAATCGGATTGGCAAGAAAGGACGTGAACAGCCCATGGATACTCACTAAAGGATAATGTCGGAACAGCCTGATTGAGTAGGGGGAATAAAAAAAGATCAGTACTCCTAAGCAATGCCGTTGATGAATAATGTGTGAACAAACCTTGTGAGAAGCGATACAGACCCTTTTGTGTGTTTCGATTGAAACACACTCTGAATAATGCGTAGAGTCGCGCGGGAGTTGGCCAGCGCCACTTGTCGACTACATTCCTCGCTCGAGAACCGATGTATGAGGACTTGTCCAATATGAAACGCATATTTTAGTTCGATCTGCCAGCCTTCCACGGCCGAAATCTCGACGGGACAAGCATTCGACAAGAGAGCTGCGTTGTGAGCATACCATTTTCGAGAGAGACAGTCGAGCTTGGAGATCTGACTCTGCCGATAGGAGAGACCTTTGCGGAAGGCCCGCAGGGAATAGAGATAAATATAAATTTCCTCCCAGATGGCCATCATATGAATATAAGCCTTCCAACATTGTTGTGTCACAGTCTGTGTCGCAATAGACTGGAACAGCTGCACGTCAGAGTCATAGAAGTGGAGGTCAAATGGTCGACCAGCGATGTACGTTCGCTGCTTGTCTATTACGAAGACTGCCCAGTACAAGTTTCGTCGCTCATTCTCCTCTATATCTAAGATGCTATTTTTATTGCCCCCCGCTAGGTTGCACTGCTGCAATCCCATAGATTTTACCGCTTGGGAGGCCATGTGGCAGACGGTATCAAATACCCTACTCTCATGGTATTCCCGAGCGACTAGGGCCTGTCGCGAGGTTGGGTCTCAATCAGCAGAAGGATCATGACGGAGAGAATTTGAGATCCGAGGACCTACAAGAGTTGCCAACGCCTGACAGCAGACAAGACCGGGATGTAGATATGTACTGAGATGCTGGAAGGCTCGGAAAGAGTTATTGAGAAAGGCGGGGAGTAACTCGTCACTCATGCCCTTAGGCAAAACCTGGTCCATGCGTGCGACCCGGGATTGTAAGCCTAGAGCTAAGACAATGATATTGTTGAAGCATAAATTGTATAGTTCATTGGCCCTAGAAGCCCGGTCGGTATAATAGGCTTTGATGACCTCATTCAATCGAGATTCGTTGAAAATGGGCAGGGTGGAATTAAAGTACTCCAGAAAGACAGGAAGACATGTTTCCAGGAGAGATTGAGGCGGCGAGGCCACTGCTTGTCCCTCATTCGTAGGGACGGATGGGGAATACGCACCTTGGGCGATAGGGTACTGATCATACTTGGCCCGTAACTCGGATTCAAGAAGGCTTGCTCTAGGAGATGCCCGCAACCCTTCTTTCTCTCCTTTGCACGTATCGAAATCGCGGGTCGAGGCGTACTTGAAGCCTTCGAGCAACGTGGCCAACGACTGTCTCGAATTCTCAAATAAGGACCGTGCCCCGATATGTCCCAAGGAAAGGCCAGGTCCCGTTCCAATGTGCGACGATCCCGCAACCGTGACATTGTTCCCACTCCGAATAGCGCCCGGACTGGCGTAGAAGATCGACTCCATGTCTTCGAGATCCGAGTTTGAAGGGGTTTCCGGCATCCCGATGGCGCTTGCTCGAGAGGAGTTAGAGGCTGCGAAGGATGCAGTCTGCAGGGTCGACATGTGTTGAAACAGCGCCCCAATGGTTTCATCGATCGAGTCGAGCCGGGAGCCCAGACTCGAGACATCCTCGACACTGTACAGCGCGACTCATCAGCATTCACCCAGCTTCGCCACCACCATATGCATATACATGTATATAAGTATAATTTTGTTCGGACACGTACAGCTGCTTGACATGGTTGATCCGCTTCCCCCGGTTAGGGAACTCACACGGGACGCCGGCCTTCTCGCAGTTAGAACACTGCGGGGTCTGCCTGTCGCACCGCACCTTCCGGGTGCGACAGTTTTCGCAGGCGGCGGTCGCTAAGGGTTCTTCTGAGTCCTGGGACGACGCCATCAAACTCAAATTGGATTGTTTCTCCGCGCTGTTGTTGCTATTTTTGTTGTTGTTGTTGTTATTGTTGGACCGTGCCCGAGGATGTTGTAGTGGTGGCATGGCTGGATTAGTCGATGTCAGCCAAGGGAACTAGTTATCCAACTTGAACATTGGTGATCACGGTGCTGGTTATTATAGGAAAGGTTACCAAGAGCCAGTGGAGGTATCCATCGTTTGTGGGTACTAAAGCCAGCGACTAAGAGTGAGAGGGGGGTGGGCAGGTGGGCTGTAGGCGATACTGTGCTGGAGTGAAAGATAGCGAGTGGGGGTCTCACCATATGAAATGGGTTAACTTGTGGACCCTGCAGGGATTTCGTACGAAGACTACATCATGATGATCTGGGATGATTACCCCAAACCACGTTGACACAAGAAGCGATCAGAGGTTAATCTGCCAAGGAATAGAAATCCATTGATTTAACTAAATAAGCTACCACTGATGATTTGACCCCAGTTAATATTCCCGTTTGAGAGATAAAATAACATTCCCAAAATAAAAAAAAATACGTATGGGTTTGGATCGTATCTTCAGACTATATGATTGAATTTCGGCTCGCTAAATTCTGACCACGTCTTCTTCTCGTGAGGATTCATATCCCCGTCCTTCGTGGCTACTTGCTTAAAAGAATTCTTTCGCCCGGTGCAAGCGGGATATTTTGTGATAGACAACCAATGATTCTTAACCATAGTACATGGATGTCTGGTTAGTTTCATCACATAAGCAAGCATTTGGGAGAAATCCTTCCTTGGGCTAGTAAAGAAAATGTCAGGACCATGGTTATGAAGGATGGGTAAACTATGTAGTAATATATTTTCAATTAATTTTATGATCTAGTATATATTGCCTTTCATAGTTATACTGTAAACAGTATCTTGGTTATGTGTGTTATAGTGCTGGAAGATTCAGTGTCGATCCTGTCGGTATCGGAAGCATATTGCGGGCCGATATGATAACGCGATCATCCTGGAGTACTACTCATTAGCTTCTTGGCTTGTCCTTATGGTGTTTCATCGTATCTGCTACATTTAAAAACGAGAAATAAGCACGACGGAAGGGCGGAATTCCATTCCTACGCCGTCACATTTCCATGTGAGATGGCATTTACTCTATGTACAGATAGAGGGAAGACAGATGAAATAATAATAAAAGGAAAAGACATCTATACAAAGGCATTTTGTGAACTTTTAGGGACATGGCGTTGAATCATACGGACTTTTCTGGCAGTATTAAAGGGACCAGACTATGCAGACTATCGTTACTGCTACTCGCTGCTCCAAGATACTGCCTGGCACGGTGGGTCTTTGTAACGAAATTTCCGATATTACTATGCATTGGTGTAGGCACTCCTATTGATCTACCTGGCCAGGAGTAGCACCCTACCTGACACTAGTTGGACCAATGCACGGGCGGCTGAGTCTCAAAAGTCACTACAAATAAACGACGACTCCAGGATTATGCGGCGGGGTCGAAGACTACCTACGGCGGACTATTGCGGCCAAATGATCAAAACTAAATTTCTCTCGAAGACCCTCTACCGCCTGCTTTACTGCTTACTATTCTAATTCCTCCTTATTACAAACATTATCACATTATTCACATGCATATTATATTGCATATTATACCGCAACAGTTTACTACTGTACAATCCTTAGCCTATGGTCACGGCCTACATAGAAAGGTGGTTACCCTTTCCCTGTCCCCTGGTCTATTGTATAAACAGGGAAGACTAAAGTATGCCTCGTCCAATAACAGATCTTAAGCTGTACAAAAGAGATTATTTCTCTGTACCAGTCTGAAAATAATCCCTCCAGGATTGCCACTTTTCTCTATGAACAGTATAGAATTACTGTTTCTAAGTGTACAGTCTGGCGACGTTTTAAAGACTGGCAGATTACCAAATATCGACCACGTACGACAAGAGACCAAGATTCAGAGGTTTCTCAGCGGATTCTCCAGCTTTTTATAAGCAGGCTCTAAGCGATAAGGATATTCTTAGAGTCTTAAAGTCTGAGGATACTGATATTGGTGAGAGAATATTAAGAAGAATCTGTACAGAGCTTGGATTAGTACACTGGATAGATAACCCCTTAGTTCAGTAACTCCAGGAGAATAAGATTATCGAAGTACTCTGTTAAGAAATAGGGCAGACTATAATTAAGGGCTATGGAAGGGAGCTTTTTTTAGTATTTTTTTATATAAGGGGTTATACTATTACTCGGTGTGTTTAAAAACCTTTATTTAAAAAGATTTGTATTAATTATTCTGTTTTTTTTAGTAACTGGTTTTGGGCCATATATTATATACTTGCACCTGAAGACCTGGACCGCCGTGCCAATGACCTCCAACGCTGCCGTGGTGCTTATATTGTTCCTGGTCTAGATTGGCTATGGTCTACAGATAGCTATCTAAAGCTAGAGCCGTACGGGATTAAGATATATGCTGCAATAGATGCCTACTCCTAATATATTATTTAGATTTATATTGGTATTTCAGCTCGTACAGCAGTCAGTGTCCTTAAGCAGTATCTTAATACTCTTAAGGAGAGGCAGATTATGCCACGGAAGCTCCGTACAGACCTTGGAGGAGAAACAGTTATTTTTCGGGATGCCTATTATTAACTCCGCTAAGTGTACAAGCCTGATCTATCTCTAGAGAACTGCTATATCTACGGACGGAGTACTAAGAACCAGTAAATTAAGTTATAGTAGGGACAGCTTACTAAAGTATAACTTTTTAAATAGTAGGTAAGTTAACCTTTATTTTAACTGCATATAAAAACTAATTACAATAGGAGTACTTTAAACAGCTTTTAGATAAAGGAGTTTTTCCAAGGAATCTATACTAGATTCTATTATCTTGTACGCAGTCTACATGCCTAAGATTCGGCAGGAGGTCTTGACCTTTAGACACAACTGGAATATCCATAGAATTCGGAAACAGCCTGCATGGTATTAGGTTGTACATGGGAAGCCATACATAAATTACTATTATCCTCCTAATAGTGTAGAAAAGTATGGGATATATTTTTGTACAAAGACTCTTAGGCAGCTAAAACAAGATGTTAAGGAGTTTAGTAAGCTGTATTTTTATACTACTATTAACTATACTAATAGATGGCTAGATCTTGACAAATATCTTCCCTCTAAGACTCTCCAGTGGTGTCGTACGCAGCTGTTGGGGATAGGGTTTAACCCTAAAAAGCCACCACCAATTTCTCCAGCTAAGAGTATAACTCCTTTTCGTACAATTTATTTGTTATTTCAGAAAAGAGTATATCTATATATACAGTCTTATTACCAACCATACCTTTGGTTATCCAAGCCACCTATAGGAGCCTTTAATTGGGAGCTATTATTCTAAAGGTGGCGTCTGATAGTATACTGTGGCTTTAGTCTAGTTTATAATTATTTGTTCCCACTATTACTACATAGACTAATATTAAACATTCTTCTCTCCTTAAGAATTCTATCTTTTTTATTCTTTTTTTTTTAATTCCTCTGTACGAAAGTGTACAATGGCAGTAGCCTGGACTCCCTTTTATTTAAAGACACCACAGCCTTATACTAGAGAGTATTGCAGGACTTGTGGTGTAGTTAAGCCTATTAATTTTACTAATTCTCCCCTTTTACCTTTTCTTCTGCTCTATCTTTCTCCACAGCCCAAGCTGCTCCAAGATTTAAATCCTATGGCTGTATACAAGGAGATAAGGATCCCTGACAACTTGTAATTATACAGACACGAAAATACCAGGAACCAAAGGATTTTAAAGCCACTGTTAGCTTTTATCTGGAGGTGATTAAGAATCCTTTTAAACCAAGACAGCGTACGAGCCGGCAGTATTTATATAAGTTATTTTAAAGTTAAGAGTTAGAAAAAAAAACTAACTTTTAAAAAAAATAATTAAAACTAGACTGTCTAATTAATAAATAAAAAATATCCAGGAGTTTATTAAAAAGAACTTACTTCCTAGGATACATGCTTTTTCCTAATATTTGTATAATCCTAATAATAACTTACACCTAGCCACCGGGCTTTAAAATAAGCATGTAATCTACTTGACAAAAGTGTAGATTACAGCCAGACAATTAGGCAATTACTGCAGGGTTGGTTCCAGACATCTAAGCAAAAATATACTATGTATATTGTTATTCTTCATACACAGCCTAACTTGTAAAATAAGCCAAGGCATATAGTAAAAAGGAACCAGTAGAAATGTAATTAGAGGATCCTTTTAATAATAACCTAGATCTCTTTGTACCAGCAATATCACCATCTCCTTCTCTATTTTCTCCTCCTTTGCCTGCTGTACAAGCAGATTCAGAGACTACTAGTTTATATGAAATGATTTCAAGAATATCTGCATTTTATATGCAATTTACATCTCGTTCTCCAAGTAGAACTCTTGGATGATGAAAGTCAGCCCAACATAACCTTAGATCCTGTCTGCATAAAGGAATATTGCAAGCCTTGCAACTGTAGTTGGTTTGAAATATCCTTCGGATAGGCTGGTTTTGAGTCTTTGCCTTTTCACTTTGAGCCTTACACCAGTGACAAAATTTGCGGGATTGAATTCGAATAGCTGAATGATCACCTTCATGTGCTGGTTGACCTAAGTCTTAAAGATCCCGGCCTTTTTTCTTTGATTTTGTACCACATCGGGACTCCTCTTGCCCTTGTTTAAAGAGCTCTTTATAGAGAGCCTTTCGAAATTCAAGATAAGTAATCTTCTTCATCCCCTGCTGCTGGCGTGCAATTTTAGCAATGCAATAGGCATTAATAATTGCTACATCAAGAAGCCAGAAGAATATAGGCCACCATGAGCGTAAAGACCTTTGATAAGTCTTATAACTTGCTCGTAACTAATTTGCACGATCTACCCCTCCCATATAATAGTTATAATCATCAATAATCCGGGGTATTGGAAGTTCCTTGGTAGGCTGATCACCGAATGGCTCACGGG